TCCGGTTCCCGACCCATATTGCTTCCCCTTTCTACAATACCGAGCAATGTGATTTAATTCCCCACAATGAAAGCAATGCCTACACTCGTCAGTAGGTTTACAATTTTCACATTTGCGAGATGGTTTTGCTGTGCTCTGGTTTTGATTCGGATTATGCACAGTCCCACGGAGTGTTTTCATCTCATTCTGCATGGCAGATAAGTCAGTTTTGACTTGTTTAATAGCTGCCAAAATCTCTTTCTTCTCCGTGTCATCCTCTTTTTGAACTGCCGAAACGCGTGCTTTCATGCTTTTTCCTGGACTTGCTACATTAAACTTCTTACTACGTTCCGTTTCTGCCGACACTGCTAAAAACATTGCTTCAATTAGTTCTTCATCAGATACATCAGTTTTTGATACTGAAGGCCGAAGTTTGGCCCGAATTGTCTCATCCTTAAGACCGGTTTCAAGTGCATGAAGAAATAAACTTTGTACCGAAGAACTGTCATATGTAATCTCACTACCCGATTCCTTCGAAGCAAATAAAATCGTCTGTCTGATGGTTAGTGCTCTCATTAGAAATGCTTCGGAATCTTCATTCGGCTGTTGGGCTATATTAATCAATGCCTGGTACAATTCGGTTGCATTTTTCTCGTGAAAATGAAAACGAAGAATCTTTCGCAGTCTAGCTAGGATAGGTCACCTACACTTTCTAAGTAGCTTCGAAGCTGTAAACTAGGTTGAACAGCTCTAATTACTGCAGTAACTATTTCTTTATCTGTATAACCCTTCCCTAAGCCAATTTCCACTTGCAACATTAATGATTGGTAGCTTAATTTGTCTTTTTGCCCAACTTCGCCTATTGTTCCTTGAATCTTGAAATCTCTATGTAAAATTGTTGCCTGCAAGCCCGAGTTTCATTTTTGTTGAGTCAGCAACAGTAGGGCTGCTTCCACTTGACTTGGGAATATTTTCCGACTGTTTTGCTTGTAAAAGCTTTTCTTCAATAGCTTTTTGTTGCGACTCAATTGCTTTTAGCTCTATTTCGAGCTTTTCTAGCTCAGAAGAAGGCTTTAACGTGTTACCTTCCTCATCTGACGGCTTAGGCTGAGCATTTTCGTCGAGAAAATCAATTAAACCTTTTAAATATTCGTTAGTCTGTTCGTCAGAATCGAACGTGTTTATAATCTTTTCGAGTTCGGTTCGAATTACTTTCATAATTTTTACCTTTGTCTGTCCTCCGATCTTTGCTTTATCGACTTTCAGATACAAGCCAAATTCAGTCAAGTCTGTAACACCTAACGCCAACAGTTTACAGTCCAATATAATCTCTGTTTCTTCAGTTGCAGCCATATTTCTATCCCAAAGCCAAAGGTCTCGCCGTATACTTTATACACTCATATTGTTGCCAAATACGTTGAAATACATCTTTAGATTCCCGCCTGAGCCCCCAAAATGTTACCTTCACTCTTTATACTTTAGCGTGTAACTTTATTATTATTTAAAACTCACATTTTAACAGTATAAACTTCGAATCGTACAACTATTAATCTCTGTCTTTTCTACAGAATACAATTCCTCTAATCTCACTACCCAGCCGTTCCGCACGTTGTAACCAATAATTTATTGGCGTTGTAATGCCATTGTATGCAATAAAGTAGTGGTTACAATGGATTTACAATTAATCCAAACGCTAATCCTAACTCAAAATCTAACCCTAACCCTAATCCTAACCCCTAACCCTAACCCCACCTCCTAACCCCTAAACCCTAACCCCACCTGCTAACCCCGCAACCTAACCGCAAACCCTAACCCCGGCCAGCTGCCCATCCGGGGAATTGCCCTAACGCCTCCCCTCCATCCACCAAGCAAGGCCAATTACACTTATAACTAAAACTTTTGTGCAGTGGTTGTGGTTTTGTTTTCAGTTACAACCCAATACTTTATTGCATACAATGGCATTACAACGCCAATAAACTATTGGTTACAACGTGCGGAACGGGTGCACTACCGCATGCTCTATCACGCCATGTGACGTACTTCCGGTCTATTACTAATTACGTAATGTTAAAGTCCGTAGGGTACATATGAAGTATGTTATAGTGCACGAATATACAATATGTGTGTTTCACAGACTTGCTTATGGAAGGACAAGCTCATTTACCATCTTTGAAATCCCCACGTTTTGCCTTCAATTATACGCTGCACACGCCGTGATTGAACGCATTCTTTTAGGTAAAAATATCTTTTTAGGATAGAATGCCCTAGAATTTTCGAACGAAAATACTGTATTTTGGTCGAAAAAACAATGAAAGAACAAAATAAACTGTAGTAGCTTTTGGAATAATTAAATTATATCACGTTATTTGAGAAAAACTGGTAAATGACTGAACATTCAGACAGCAAAAGAAAGCAGGCCGAAAGTTTCGCGCTGTTTTCGTTTTTGCCCATTCTTGCCCGGACGAACTTTCAATTGTAAATTGTACTAATTAGAACAAATATACATCGAATACTTTCACATCAGTTCGTTCTTCCCCAAAAAGATGGTTCAACAGCATCGGCAACAGCAGGGGGAGGTAAAATGGGAAAAAAAACATCGCTTTTCCTATTCAATGTCTATGATTTTTGACCGTTCGAGCCGCCATTTTGGATTTTCAAATTTGGCCTTCTTTTTCAGCCGAGTCTGCAATCTAGGGCTCCTACATCTATGCTTAAAAAACAGCTGGGAAATTTGCTACCGCTTTGCAGAGAAATTGCTGGCGCACGTGATATTTTACAAAAATTCGAAAATTTGAAAAAACAAGACGAGTGAAATTTCAACTGATGATTTTGCATTTTTAAGACGACGATTAAGGAAATTAAATTGTAGGAAAAACTTCACTAACATCTCAAGTATGGAAAGCATCTACATTATCAAATTTTAGTTTGGAAATGATTCAAAATTCAGGCGATAAAGTTACATGGCTAGGAGTTGGCTTTTATGCTCTTCGAATATCCATTTTCACTCGAGGATTACTGCAACTTGTTGGTCTCATGGGTACCAAAATTGACATAAACGTCAACCAGTAACCAAGAGCTATAAACAAAATCGCTTTTCAAAAATATAAACTCTATTCAGTCAAAAGGATGAAGGTAAATAAACGTGCTACTGCGTGATAGTGATCGAAATAGTGATTTCGAAGCAACTTTCTCATATATATTTTAAAAAGTGGGATAATGAATCAGATTTTGCTTTTTGCAATCCCAAAAGGTATGAAAATTATTTAAATATTTGAGGTTTCCATGTTTATAAAGCGTTTTTCAAGAAAAAGAAAAATTTTCCCGAGAAAAAAGATAGTTTGTGCAGAAAATTGTTTTTTGAGATAGAAGATCCTGGGAGAGGGGGTGTAAAAGCGTGGGCGGACAGCAAAAAACCTTGACTTTTGCTCGAAAAAATTAATGCCAAATTTTGTTTTGCCTTTGTTTAATGTGTAATTTAAACAAGTTTTTTTCCATCTAGAAATTCCGCTTAGTGATCAAAACTTGGATTATGTTTGCAGTATTGGCTATTTGTTTACTTTTGGAGGTCAAAGTTTGAGGTACAATTATTTTTAAAGTTTACAAACTACCCAGCTAATACTTGGCTGTTGTTTGCAGCCTTATATGCTGATTAAGATTTAGTTTGGTCCACGATATTAGATCCTTTCAATGAAGGGAAATTAAAAATAGTATATTTGATAACTTTTGCAGCACAGTCAGTACATAGGTAGGGTGCAATACCAGGCCAAATTGGAAAAAAAATTGCCTATTGCTCCAAATTCAAAATCATATTTTTTTGCTGCCAAGGCACATAGAAAACAGAATTTAACAATAAATTTTGTTGAAAATTTCCGCTTACGGGTCTTATTTCGCTTTGAAATGCGTGCGTTTACTGCTCTTGTATGACGCAAGAGAATCGAAAACATTCGAAGTACTGTAAAAATGTAATAAAATCGACAACTTGACTTGCCCTTGAGATATTGCTACTGCCTCAGCACTGAAATGTTTTTTGACAACAATTTGCCAGTGTTTCTTGGACATTTTCCTTGTTTAACTCGTAAAACCGAACATACAAGTGCATCTGAGGACTAAGCGAGAGTTTGGTGTAGAAATATGTTGTTTACGGGAAGTTATTTTGCATTCGCAAGGCGTCAACAAAAGCCGGCATTTTCGTCACAGTTTGATTATCATATCAATAGATAAAAGCTTTGAAAATTCAACTGAAATACATTTTAAACCGCCCGTATTTGAATAGAATATATGCTAGTCGTATTAACATTGAACTTCTTTCTGTTTGAACCCAAAAAGCTCGCGTCCTGGCGAAGATTCAGTGGCTTTTTCATATACCGAGCATCAGATTCAGTCTTCTTGTTTGTGTGAGGATTATAATATTCTATTGCTGTTCAAACAGATATTCTATACACTGGAAACGTCGAGTACATTTTACTTTGTCTTTGACTCAAGCAAAAAAGTATAAAGTTTAAACAGGCATTCAAAAACATACAACAACCGCGAGCGTCTTCGCAATATTTCTTCGGGGAAATCTTCAACTCTTCAAGTTTCAATGTAAATTTTGGTTAATCTGGCGCATGCTCAGACAAATTTCCCAGCTGCTTGCTTAAAACCCAAAGTATCGGCCGTATTGAAGCGTCACTGTTGCAATAGCAATGGCAGTTGCAATTCGATGTTTTGAAAAAATTCAACTCATTATTATTTTTCTAATTCGACTATCTTTGCTTTTTAGCATGTGGGGATGGTTGAAATATTTGGATTTAAATGAGCGATCTTCGATTTTCTAGAAACTGTAGGGAGCCACCTTAATACAAAATTGGCAATACTTAAATACTCAATAATACCAAGATGGCTGTCTCTAGCGCCAAATGTTGTTGGAATAATGTACACAAAAATTTATCCAACTTCGCTTGAGCTGACGTTCTTTCAAAATATATGAAAATGTTAAAATATTGTGCACAAGAGAAACGAATTGGACAGGAGACTTGGAAATCCTTTAACATTGAATGGTCTGTTTATTTGGCGATATAGGGCATTAAGCTCACCCGCGGGAAGCGCTAAAGCATATCGAATTAAAATGTTAACCGTGAACTGGCACGCGAATAAACAAACATTTATTTGCCGAGGAAATCTTGGTAATAAACTAAGAGAGCAGATAATCGATTTTATAACCAATGTAAAGGACAAAATCGACGATCACGAATCAGAGACCATCTCGTAGTTAGCGTTAGCTCATATTTTTTTACAGGCGCCTTCCTCAGAATATTAAAATTTACGAGGCTTTTCCACTGCGCTCTTTTTGCCTTATCCTCACTCTGATTTTCTTAAAAAATAGGCACGCAACTCATATATGTATCTACGAAGAAACTTCATTCACATTTTGCATTTTCTTGAAAGAAACTGAATAACGAAGATGACATGGGACAATAGACCTTATGCATAATGACGTCACAAGGTTTGATGCCCGCTAGATATGCTGCTCTTAGTAGTCATCGCCCGGGAAAATTTCTTTAGTGGTCATTTTGAATTGTTTAAATGACCTGGACTATAACTACTAAGACCAGCATTCCTCGCCGCCATCGAGATTTGTGACGTGATTATGCATAAGTTTATTGAAATATATCGTCACTTATTGTAATAAATATAACAGCAAGTATAAATTTGTAAGAAGACAAACATTATACACATCTAACATGGCCGTACACATACAACAGGGAGAGCAGCAGGGGCAACTAACCCCACCCAACCAATGCCCCCCCCCCCAGAAAATGTAACTAATTTTATCATGTGATTATTATTATAACGGATAACAAGCAGCCAAAAAAAAATTTCATGCAAAAATTTATTGTAATCATATGAAGCAAACGTTCTGTCAGAAAATGTTGCGTAAGCATAATTAAATAGACAAGATGGCGGCCGTCTGAAATGGCAATATTAATCTTTGACGAGGTCTTAAATCAAGATATTTGTATAACAACTGTGTTAAATGGCCGCCAGATTATTTGCAGAAAGTAAAGGTGGCTTTCGGTAGCTTCACTCCGGAAATAGCTGCCAAAACGTCGCGTTTTTCGTGGATGTATGTGGCAAGCAAGTTCAAGCTGTACTCGAAGCTCATGGTTCTTTGAAAAATGTTCGACGGGAGATGACTAATTCCATAAATCCAGCGTCAATACTACAAATGGAAGCTCGGCTGTGGCTGGCCGGAACTCTACGCCAAATAAGGGCAAGAGGAGCGTCAGAAACCCATACTACAGACACACCAATCGAGATGTTTATCATGTCTTCAATATCGTAAGAATTGTTCGAGTGTTGTACGGGTTTGTTGAACTATTTCGTTTTCACAGTTAGATCAAGAAGGCTATTGAGTATTGTTGTTTATTTTACTTCGATGCGCTTTGTCAATGATTTATTTGCTTTTTTATCTGGGTTTGTCCATGGACGTAGTGGCTGGCTACTTTGAACAAAGTTTTTCAACTATGGAGAGTGGAATGTCAATGGATTTCCACAGCATGTTTGCCAGTAATGTCTGAAATATTATGCTCCATTGAAGTATAGTCAGGTATATTGTAACAGTTTGTAAAGATGTATTCTCCCAAACTTTCTCAGTATTAACCTTATTTGTACCGGGGATGTTTCATGTTGATATGACCGGGGGTGCGCTGATAGGGTGCACTCCTCAGAAATTCTGTCGATTAACTGCCATTAAGCTATCAGTTTTATTTTTAGTAAGTTTTATCTTTCTTAACTTAAAAATAACAAAAAAGTTAAATTCACATCCCAAATGCTGTTTTTGCCCCTATTGATTATGACCGTCTGTCCAAAAATGGCGAAAATAGCTAACACTTTACCCATTTTGGTTATATTTTGTAAAGACATAACAAAACATTTTGGATGTGACATCTTTTGGGTCTTTTACATTCAAAAGACATACATTTATGTTATAGCATATCTCAGATGTCCATATAAACGCCACTAGTTTACTTTCCAAGTTGGCATTTCTGTGCCATATGAAAAGACATACAACTGAAACTTACCTGTCTCTCATATAAACTATCCAAATCATTTTCAAGTTTCAACATCACTGATTTTACCTTCATATCACTATGACAGTGTCATTGTTGTAATAATGTGTCGCAATTGTGCATTAGGTGAAACTCTAGCTTTTTTTAGTGGCATAACTTCTTTAGTGTAAATATAAAACGTTATACTAAAGTCGACCAACAAAAGTTTGTAGAAAAAAATACGAAATGCAAGCCATGTTTTATACCAATATACTATGCGTTACATGAAGTGTAAGGCAGGTGAGCTACGAGCTACGAGCCTGCTGTATAGTTTTGAAAACACAATATTTGCTTTGAAAATCATGGCGATCAGTCTGAATTTATGCAAAAGTTTTACTCTCAATTGGAAAATTTCTTGTACGAAAGTGTTCAATATATAATGCATCCTACACGTTTGATGCTTGCTGAAAGACAGGGAGGTGTTATGCCTTGAAGGTACAAAGAAATATGTGTATTTGAATATATATAAATTTTATAAATAAGTATTTTATATTATATAAGTATTGCATAGTATGAAATATTATATGTTATACTATATTTTACTATTTTATATAATATATTATGAATATTTTACTTTGCAAATTATGTGTAATAATCCATCTTTGTATGTTCTCTAATTATATTATGTTATTCATGTCCTGGGAGGTGATTCAGCCAGAATATATTGTCCAACCCACATTTTCCCATTTTTGGCCCCAATACCTTGTTTGACAAATGTCGGGAAACGTCCGGATAACTTTGAATTTTCAGAAAAATATTTTCGCACTCACGACCGCAGAGAAAAAATATTAAAGTCATGAAAACACAGGCAAATGGAATCATTTGGTCAGGAATGAAGGATAAATATTTATAGGGGTGCGCTCATTGTGCGCACCCCCGATACCAATAGGGTTAACATTATGACATAGCTATTGGTGAATTGCTGATAAAGATTGTGATTTACAAAGCTGGCTGTCACCTCCTCGAGGAAGATGAAGCATTGCAAGTCTGCCATGAGCTGGAGTGGGGTTACGTCCTCTTAGAAACTTTGTTGCTATAAAAAATGTGTTGGCTAACTCCGTCCCCTTCCTTTCTGTGATAGTTTGTCACTCTTTGTACCCAATGACTCTTCACAGCTGTTGCAAGCATATAGCAATTTTAATTAAAGAAGCTAATTCCTAAATGCCCAATAACTGGTCATTGCTATCAAAATGATTTCTACCAGTGCTTCCAAAATTATCAGTATGCATGTACAATTATTAGATACACTACTATGGCAAACACCAGCAGTTAATGGGAATTACCAAATAGTTGTTCTCTGATGACTGGTTTTCTATAGATACCAGATAGCAAAGCAAACAACTCAAATATTTTAGTGAAGTAAAAATTAAAAATAGTGCTTTCATTGAATGAGTACATTTTCTGCATCGATCAAAGCAAATCAAAAGTATTGAGCTACAGACAAGGGGATTCAAATCAATATATTTTGCCAGAACTAATTATTTGCACAATCAGCTTTTTATTTTCTTGTCTCAATCAATCTGCAACCAAAAATCATTGTATATACATACAGTAATTCTGATGTTGCTTCTGAAAACCAAAATCATGAAGCATTTCTATGAAAGTAGAACATTCTTTACTGAAAACACCAAGAGAACTAATCGAAAGATTTACCAATTTTACTGAGTTAAAATGTTCATTTTGTTCCCTAATTAATTCTTTATATTTTGATTTTTGCCGCTCAACTTTTTTTTGAAGATTTGATTCGAAGACAACTGTAAGTTCGACAATATAGAGTGTTCCGGTTGAGGTTGAATTAGCAAATCTGGACGGTAGGTGTCACCAGTGATGATTGATGGACTTTTGCTCCCTGGAAGATCCACGTAAAGATGTGAGCCGCTTACGATTTGCACGCTTGTTGCGAGAAAGTTTAGAACGGAGTCATGTCTCCACGTGAATCGTTCTAGATACGATTGGCAACCAGCTACTACGTGCAGAAGTGTTTCAGGAGCTAGACATCGCGAACAGTCTGAAGTCGGTGATAAACCCCATCTTGCAAGGTTTTGGCGCGTTGCAAGGCTGTTATAATGATAATAATAACAACAACAACAACAACAACAACAACAACAACAACAACAACAACAACAACAACAACAACAAGCAACAGCAGCAACAGCAGCAACAGCAGCAACAGCAGCAACAGCAGCAACAACAGCAACAGCAACAGCAGCAACAGCAACAGCAACAGCAACAGCAACAGCAACATCAACAACATCAACAACAACAACAACAACAACAACAACAACAACAACAACAACAACAACAACAACAACAACAACAACAACAACAACAACAACAACAACAACAACAACAACAACAACAACAACAACAACAACAACTATATACATTGTGAAATGATTCATACCTGGATTTAAATTTTCACAAAGATCGCCACTTGCCCATGAAGGACAGACACACTCAAAGAATGGCTCAGTACATCTTCGAACACATGTTGAGCCACTTTGACAATAGTTGATGTCACACTCCTACATATGAAATTATTTACTTTTTAAGTCACTGGAATGGAGGAAACGAATTGGACTGAGAGAACTCTTCGTGAATGGTAATCACGGAAATGGTAAATTACCTGATCGTTTGAAAGCTTGACGAAACTCAGGCCATAGTACGGAATTGATTTTCCGTCAGGATCTGAGCTCAAAAGACAATTCTCCGATTTCTTAAATTCGAGAAAGATATAAGCCTTGCAACGTTGCTCTTTCGCACACTCAATAGAACAAAATGCTTTCAAAGCCACTGTTGTAATCTTTAAGATTTTCTTCGAGAATAAATCATTGTCTATAAAATAAAGGTGTTTTTCGTTACTTATATATTACGATTACATTTAGCATTTCTATGACGCAAAATTACATGAACATGCGTAAAAACGCTCAGGTTGTTGCAATATTGATGAAAACAGGATTGAACAATGCACAACATTGTTCAATATTGTTGACAGCTGTGAACAATGTGGGCAGCAAAGCATTGTTCAATCCTGATAAACAACAGGCTCGGTGTTTTTTTGCCGTGTTCATTAGCATTTCTATGACGCAAAATTACATGAACATTTAGCATTTCTATGACGCAAAATTACATGAACATGCGTAAAAACGCTCAGGTTGTTGCAATATTGATGAAAACAGGATTGAACAATGCCTCAACATTGTTCAATATTGTTGACAGCTGTGAACAATGTGTTGCTGCCCACATTGTTCACAGTTGTCAACAATCTTGAACAATATTGTTACACCCGATTCAGGCTGAACAATATTGTTCAATATTGTTGACAAGTGTGAACAACGTCCGTTGGACAGCAAAACATTGTTCAATCCTGATAAACAACAGGCTCGGCGTTAAAATATTGTTTTTAACACGAGAAGATACAAGTCATATCTTCAAGCCATCGTGTAAGGTTCTGTTTATTATATAGTCCCAAGCAAAAAGTTGTGAAATTTCACGCTCAAAAGCAAATTGTCGAATTGCCACGTGATCGATATCTTCACTAGTGAAGATATGGAAAATATCTCACTGTGTATTTTTCAGTATCTCACTCTTTATATCTTTACAACAATTGTGATATTACTTTCTTAACTGTGTTTATCCTAACCCACCCTGTCAACTTTCCCTGTGGGAGGGAACCGGAGCACCCGGAGACAAAACCCACGACTTTCGGCAGAGCGTTGACTGACTCTTTTCACACGAGTTCGTAGCGAGAATCCAACCTATACGAACTCCGAGATAAAAGACAGAGCCCCATATAACAATCTATATTTAGAAAGTAACACACGAAACCCCTCCGACACCAAAGCACATCTCTGGAGGAAAACCTGGATTTTCGAAAGCGATTCGAAAATACTTACAGGGGTTTATTGAACACAATGAAGAATCAGGTGTTTGGTAAATAATCCATTTACTATATTGTCCATCGGCATAGACGTTATAAAGCAAAATATGAGGCATACCGACGTTGCCATAATTCATTTTTAACTTTGTTCCTCCAACCTATAACATGAAACAGATTGGCTTAGCTCTTCGTTCTTTAATTTATGCTTGTTTCATTTCTGTTTTATTTATCTCGCGTAAAAATCACACAGCTTGTCAACAAGATGTGTTCGTTCTGCTTGTTCCCAGTTGTCTGGAATAAGTTGTTATCATGCCGTAAACCTCCGACTATAAACCCTGGGCTTATATACTTTCGTAAGCGATTTTTGATGGGCTTATACAAGGCTGGGCTTATATAGGGGGGAGGGGGCTTATACATTGTCGACCTTTTGTGTTAGTAATAAACAAGTCAGACATAAACAAGTCAGTCATAAACAGGAAAATAAACATGTATTAAGCAGCGATTACTGGGCTTATATTAATTCGGGGGACTTATATTCGGTGGGCTTATGTTCGGGTGGGCTTATATTCGGGTGGGCTTATATTCGGGGGGATGGCTTATATCTGGAATGAGGTGAGCGTTAGCACATGTGGTGGGCTTATACACGGGGGGGGGGCTTATAGTCGGAGGTTTACGGTATTGTAACGAGGTTGATCAAAGCCAACAGACTCGCAACAAGTTGTTCCATCAAGATACTACTAGGGACCTTTATCAAATAGGGGACGGCAACGCGACGACGACGGCCAAAACAAATTCGTTCAAATAAGTATATTAAACTTTAAGATCAACATGTCTTGTATTATCCGTTGTATGAATTTATTGCAGTTTAAGAAGGTTAAGACAGAGGTTTATGGTTGAGAAGACTTCTACTAAGCCAATTTGCCGAGGACGACTTTTCGCGGCTTGGAAGGCAGACGTTGTATAGAAAACGTGAAAATCTTGGATTTGCTGTTGTAAACAGAGCAAGGACGACGTCTAAAACTCCCATGGGAACTTTAATTATGCATTTTCTTTCCACACCGTCATGAATTTCATAGTATTATTAATTAATAGCCGTCGCCATCCTGCTAGCTAAAGGTCCCTATTGTCTGATATCGTCTGCACGTAACAAGTTGTTAACAAGTTGATGACAACAAGCTCGTCGAAACTTGTTACGAACAGCCTGTATTCGTCTTGTTGGAACAACTTGTAGCAAATCTGTTACAGTCATCAACCTTGTAACAAGGTGATGACAATTTGTTCCAGACTTGTCACAACAACTGGGAACAAGCAGTGCGAACACATCCTGATATCGGCTTCACAACAACCTTGTTGCAACTTGTTTGTAGATCTGGAACAACTTGTGTGTTTTTACGTATACACACGCAAAAACGCACAAGTTGTTACCAAGGGTGGGTAGTAGCGAAGTAGTTGTAGTTCGCTACTGTAGCGAACTACAATTTTCAAGTACAGCCAGTAGTTTTTGACTACTTTTTTAAAACAGTAGTTGTAGTTATAGCGAACTACATTTTGCCTAAAAATAGCCAAGTAGTTGACTACTTTTCAAACAGCGAATCGCTATTCGCTACTTTTTAAAATTGTTAGCAACCGTTCGTAGAATATAATGATATTAAGACAAGGTTTGCTTAAAAGATTATTTTATACAGTAAAGATTATTTTAGCGCATTGAAAAGTGGCACTCCTGAACATTGTATAGTGCTTACAAAAATGTTTCTTTGACCCTATTTGTTTACTGTTGCTACTCGTAAGTCTATTTGTTATAGGTTAAATTACAGCCTGAGCCCAAATACCATACTAAACTAAAAAATATAGAGTAGCGAAATAGCGAAATAGTTCGCTACATTTTTTAAGCAGTAGCCGTAGTCAGTAGCGAACTACTTTTGTTCAAAAGTAGCAGTAGTTGTAGCTGACTACATATTTTTGAAGTAGCTGTAGTTATAGCGAACTACAAAAATTTTGTAGTCAACCCACCCTTGGTTGTTACAAGTCTGCAAACAAGTTGTATAACAACTCTGTTCACAAGCTGTCGACAAGTTGTGCTCGCATTGCTTGTTCCTAGTTGTTGTAACAAGCTTGTTACAAGCTGTTAAAAATTTGAAACAAGCTTGATGGCATTATCAGATTTGTTACAAGGTTGTTCTAACAAGTCTGATACAGTTATGATATAACAAAAATGTTACAAGTCCTCATGATCCTCATGATCCAGTCCTCATGAATTAAAATGTTACTTAACAGCTTGTTCCAAACTTGTTGACAACTTGGGATTTCAAACAGTGCGAACACAACTTGTTGACGGCTTGTTGGCCAACTTGCTACAAGATATGAAATTTTTGCGCCTGTAGTTGAAATCAAATTTAATCACCTCGAAAAAGAGTCCATCACAAGCCCATTGTTGCGATTTTCTTGTCGAATTACAAGTCCTGACACAAAGTCTGTCTCTAATGACGATTCCGTTAACGATATCAAGGCACTTTCCTGTATGTTCATGACGTAATTGCCTGTTGTTGATCCACTGCCAAGCTTGTATCGGGGAGAACAAATCATGAATACACGTTTGCGCTGTAACGTAATCATTGGCATACACGCTCGCACACAGGTTGAAGGCTTTCGAATATATTTGGAATCGTCGGTCTAAAAATATATTTCTCATTAATAATTCATGTCAATTTCATTCGATAACAAGACTATGTTTATAGATTGATAATTATACAGAGTGTCTGAAAAAAGTGAACCTTTTATAGGCCACGGTCAAACGTCGAACTTTTCATGTGCCGAACCTAATGCAAATGAAGTGAAATAAAGAACTTAGCTCATTAATAAATCAATATAAAAATATATACGTTTCGAGCAAAAGCGCTTCGAAGACATTTTCAACGAAGACAGTCAACGGCATAATTATCCGATCCAAATTGAATGGTTATGCCAAAGATATTCAACGGCATAACCACTCCAAGTTGAATGGTTATGCCGAAGACAGTCAACGGCATAACCACTGCAAGTTGAATGGTTATGCCGAAGACAGTCAACGGCATAACCACTGCAAGTTGAATGGTTATATGTCGAAGACAGTCAACGGCATAACCACTCCAAGTTGAATGGTTATGTCGAAGACAGTCAACGGTATAACCACTCCAAGTTGAATGGCTATGCCGAAGACATTCAACGGCATAACCACTTCATGCAAGTTGAATGGTTATGCCGAAGACAGTCAACGGCATAACCACTGCAAGTTGAATGGTTATGTCGAAGACAGTCAACGGCATAACCACTCCAAGTTGAATGGTTATGTCGAAGACAGTCAACGGTATAACCACTCCAAGTTGAATGGTTATGCCGAAGACATTCAACGATATAACCACTCCAAGTTGAATGGTTATGCCGAAGACAGTCAACGGCATAACCACTCCAAGTTGAATGGTTATGTCGAAGACAGTCAACGGTATAACCACTCCAAGTTGAATGGTTATGCCGAAGACATTCAACGATATAACCACTCCAAGTTGAATGGTTATGCCGAAGACATTCAACGGCATAACCACTCCAAGTTGAATGGTTATGCCGAAGACAGTCAACGGCATAACCACTCCAAGTTGAATGGTTATGCCGAAGACAGTCAACGGCATAACCACTCCAAGTTGAATGGTTATGCCGAAGACATTCAACGGCATAACCACTCCAAGTTGAATGGTTATGCCGAAGACATTCAACGGCATAACCACTCCAAGTTGAATGGTTATGCCGAAGACATTCAACGGCATAACCACTGCAAGTTGAATGGTTATGCCGAAGACAGTCAACGGCATAACCACTCCAAGTTGAATGGTTATGCCGAAGACAGTCAACGGCATAACCACTCCAAGTTGAATGGTTATGCCATAACCACCACGGACACCACGGGCCCCGCGAAACGTTAATCCAGCCTTGGCGATATAAGGCTACTGTTGAAAATAAAGCCTAACTTAGGCGAAAAATTTTAATATAAAAACTATAAAAATATAAAAAATGTATATGTTTTGAGCGAAGGCGCTTCGTCGAGAAGTTAGCATGCCTTCGCTCGAAACGTCGAAGTTCTCCTTTTATTTTTCAATTAGTTGCATCGCTATCAATCGCGAAGCTTTCTTGTTTTCCAAGAGCACATGTTTACATACTTACATCCTGGCTTTGCCGTACACAAGGTTGATTCTGTTTGGTAGATGTTCAATTGGTCTCTGACACTAGCTTGATCTGATATTATCAAATGACTTTCACCCTCACGAGCATAATTCATGAACATCCAGATGTTCATGACGAGTCGCAAGACATCTCTGGTACAAGTCCAACGTTGTTTGGGGCTCGAGTCATTACAAGGTAGGACTTTCAGCTTTTCATGTTCGATAATATCACCATCTATGAGTGCAAGAAAAACCGTCGTAATTATAACAAAGATTACTACAGGACAATAGATAATCCAACTTCAGTATGTTCGCAAGCGTTAGATATCGAGTTTGTCGATAATATTTTTACACAGCAAGAAAATCCAGGCTTTTAGCTGTCCAATGACACCTTCTTTGTAGCATTATAAGAGAAAATGTCCAAGTACGAATCGTATAAAAATTACCGGTGGAAATCGATTTATCCACTGTTGGCAAATTTGGTGACAAACAATTATACATGGTGTCCCAAAACCCCCAAAAACTATTGAAATAACGTATTGTTAGAATTTGAATGCCCTATATTAAGCATACAGGGTGTATAAAAAAACGCAACCTCGGAATTTCCCGAGAAATCGACATGGTTTTAAAGACAAAAGATTTTAGGCGCCTGGGAATTTAAAATGTCAAAATTATTGCACACGCGAGTGCATAATGCCAAATTTATGCATTTATTTAATGCACAACAACAGTAATATGATCTATTAGCAATTCGATTTCAATTCCCAGGGGCTTAAAACCTTTTATGCTTAAGAATTGCACAGTGATTTCTTAGGAAATTCCGAGGTTGCGTTTTTTTTTATACACCCTGTATATTAAATATTGACTTATTAAGAAATTAAAATATCTTTGTAAAGCACACGATTTTCTGCTCTTGGGAATTTAAAGCAGCTTCTTAAACAGTTTCTTTATGCATAAAATTTACTTATGTCAAGCTTTGATGCACTTGTGAGTTCAGCAGAGCACCGAGGCATTCAAATCAAATCCCATTTGGATCTAAAATTCATAAATTTTAATTTAAAAAGCACTACCATCTGATCACTTCTGTTTTAAGCGGCTTATTGTTCGGCATTACACATTAGAGATGAATTGTTTTCAGTTTTCTTTTGTTCTGCATTGCTATAATAATGCACATAGGTGGAAAAATGTAATTTCAACTGACAATTTTCAATCGGCTCGTATTTGGTCATTTTGCTTGAAATGTTACAAAAAAGATGTCATTCGAAAGCTAAAACCCTAATCTTTACTAATATGAAAAATTAAATCTGTGGCACTGTGCACTCAATATTGAGCGCACAAGAGCACTCTAAAACTGGATTATCCTTTTTGATTCACCCTGTATAATATGCATGAGCTTTTCCCTCGCTATAGGGAGCATAGCCTTTTTCAGAGCGGGGAGCAGATGGAGTAGCCTCAACCATTGGTTCCAACTGCTCAGAAGTACAGAAAAACTTGTTGTTGTGACACAAAATTTTGCCACTGCTTGACACTCACCAACTGCTAGACACTTGTGTGTGCTTTTATGAAGTAATAGATCGTCATTTATCCACATCCACCGCTGGCCAACCTTCTCGCTGTCACATTTTTCTACTGTGACGTAATCAGAACCGTTCACCGCAACGCACGTTTTATAGAAGACGGAAAAGATCTGAAAACCTAGAGAATGAAAACAGTATTACCAATTTCAGATCTCTTATACTCTGTTTTAAATTATGAAACTCATTAATAATTCATGAAGAAGACAAAAATAATATACTATACAGTTAGATTAAACTTCACGCTATACACGTTGAAGATTTTAGTTTCAAAAACAATTACTGTTAATGGATGAGTATACTGTCTTAATATGTAAACGGTAAGCGAACGTTAGGCGTCCTACTTCCTCACTTTTTTAACGTTTGAAAGTTGGACGAGTTTCGTCAGTAAACGTTGAACAAGCGCACAGTAGTGCTGTATTTTATCAAAGTGCCATTTTCTTTCAATATTACTGAGTTTCAAACAGTTTTTTCGAATTTTTTTCCGAGTTTTTTGCCCAGATAAGGGTCGATATCATGTTTAGCAAAATTATATGGAGCGTTATCAACACAAATGATATATTTTGTCCAAGAATAACTTAAATATATCAACAGTTTTACTGATTAGTAATTAAAACTGTTGATTTAATTAGTAATTAGTAATCAAAGTTCAGTAATACTGAACAAGAATATTTTTAGCTAGTTCTACTTACCTGGCGTTTCGCTTGTATTCACTTTTATAAATTTTGCTTCGACGTCACAAGTTCTAATTCCCTCTGTTTGGTAGGTGTAAAAGACAACGAACTGTAGAAATACGATAAATAACGCTTCTTGCCCCATCCTCGACCTTTGAGCGTGTTTCAATGTGTTAACAGTATCGTACTGTCTCAAAATTGAGTAACTATGTACGATGTTGATACAACAAGCTGGTGGAAGAATCTTCTGGACGTGCGCAACACAGTTGAACCACTTAAGTTCATTTCATCCCAGTTGGGAATATTGGGTTTTAATTGCAAATATTCATAGGAGGTATACCACTATACCTAGTAAGGCGTATTGCGATTATCAGTTCCTTGTATCATCAAGTGGTTGGTATTTTATCGCACCTGTACATTTAAGTTAGATACTTTGGTCAGCTTAGTTTTCATATACACACTGTTTGGTTAGTGCAAAAGACACGAAACTGTAGAAATACGATAAATAAAGCTTTTTTGTCATCCTCCATCGGGCGTGAATCAGTGAAAAAATTTACTGTAGTTCATTTCATCTAAGTAGAGAATCGAATGTTGGCTTTTAATTGCAAGTATTCACAGGGGGTACCTTTCTACCTGTTAATTATCAAGCTGGGTTTTTAGATTATCAGTTCCTCATCAATTATATACCCAATTCATTTTGAAAAATGAAAGTAAGGTACTTTCTTTTCAATGCAACTTGTCCACTTCTTCAATTTCAGAATTGTCTGTTCGTTATCGTGGCTAATCATCTAACTTAGTTTAATCTTATATGTTATTATGATTTTAGATATTGAAGCTGCTAAATAAATAAAGGGGATATAATTATTTTGTTCGAAATTAGCATGAAACAATGAGCTTTATTTTTTATTTAATAGTTACTGTATGTACTCTCTGTGGCAGGGGTGTCAAGTAACGAATTAAGTAGATATATACTTCGTTACTGTATACTTGAGTACTATTTTTGAGAAGTGAGAATGTAACAAAGTAAACTTTTTCTGGAGTACTTTTACTTGGAACGAAGTCATTTTAAGAACGTTTTACTTCGTTATTTTCATTTTTTGGCAAAGTATTTCGTTACTTTCTAACTTTTGTTTAATTTTACGTAATTTTATATTCCCAATTTATTTTAATTTTGGGATAGGTAATAGGACCTCTACATGGGTCTGGCGGATCTTTCGTTTGTGGCTTACTTATAAGCATTATTTATTTAATGGATACAGCAATTTTCGTCCAAGCACAAACCGCAAACATTTTCGTGCGTTTGTTTACGTTTGAAACGGGGCGTTTACCGTTGGAAACTGAAATGTTTCGCTGCTCATTCGACGTGTTATAGTGAAAAGCCTAATTCAATTATTTTTCATGTTTTGATGTGCTTTCGTGTACTTTTCAGTGTTTCCAAGCTCACGATATTGTAAGAGCGACCAAACTTGTTTATATTCATACTTTTTGTGACTAGAACGTATTATCATGGGCTGGAAAATATTGAAACGTGCACGGAGGCACATCAAAACATGGCAGTTGCGCCAAAAATAGCTTAAGGCTTTTCAATGTGACACATCACATGAGCGGTGAAACATTTCAGTTTCCAACGGTAAACGCCCCGTTTCAAACGTAAACAAACGCGCGAAAATGTTTGCGGTTTGTGCTTGGACGAAAATTGCTGTATCTTATATGCCGTGAAATATTGTATATTTATAATGCGTGTGCTGTTTTATATCTCAATCCATGAATGGAGAAGTCCCCCCCCCCCTACATTCTGCAGACAATAGTACTTTTATTTTTACTTTGTACTTCAAGTATTTTTGAAGGATACTTTGTACTTTTTACTTAAGTACGTTTTGCTTCCAGTACTTTTTACTCTTAGGCCCGTTTCATACGCCGTACTTCACATGTGCTGAATACATTAAAGACAATAGATAATGAGCTGAAATGCCTCATTACCTATTGTTTTTAATGTACAGAGTGTCCCAAAAAAAAGTGACACTAGAGAAATTATCTCATTGTTCTTAAGCCGCTCTTAAACGCGCGTGATTACACGCCTGGGAATTTAATCGATTTAATGAACTTGTATTTACATTTAAGCATTTTAAAACGTTTTCGCTTTGTCTAAATATTTTAACGCCCGAGTCAAGCAAAACGATTACACTAATAAACTGTTTGCTTTTTTATTTTAAATTCCAGAAGCAAAAGTTTATGCACCTGTGGGATCAACTTAGTGTTAGGGCATTCAAATTATAACAATAGGATAATTTCTATAGTGTCACTTTTTTTTGGGACACCCTGTATTCGGCACATGTGAAGTACGGCGTATGTATACTTCACATGTGCCGAATACATTAAAGACAATAGATAATGAGCTAAAATGCCTCATTACCTATTGTTTTTAATGTATTCGGTACATGTGAAGTACGGCGTATGAAACGGGCCTTACTCAAGTCATTTTATTGTTAATTGCTTTTACTTTTACTCGAGTACAAATTCAAAGTAATTTAGGCACAACTGCATGCTCTGTAGACAATGGACATTACTACAGGGTGTATAAAAAAAGGAATCAAGCATATTGTTAAAATTTGAATGCCTTTTCAATTGCACATATGCTGAACCGTGGTGCGTGAAATATTGATGATGCATACAGTATATTAGAAAAAGGAGACCTTTAGAATTTGAAATAACGTTTAAACAAAAGATTGTCTGCTCCTGGGAACAATCTGCCATGTGCTTAGCAAAGTGCTCCAGGATTCAAATTATAACAATGGTTGATTTCTAAAGGTCTCTTTTTTCTAATATATTGATATATCACAGTTCAGCATATGTGCAATTGAAATGGCATTCAAATTTTAACAATATGCTTGATTTCTAAAGGTCTCCTTTTGTTATACACCCTGTATAGTTATAATTTGAATCCTGGAGCACTTTGCTAAGCCCAAGAGTGCGTAACATGCGATCTACGTAGAGTATGCATGGCAGATTGCCCCCAGGAGCAGACAATCTTTTGTTTAAACGTTATTTCAATTTCTACAGGTCTCCTTTTTCTAATATATCCACCACATCAATATTTCACGCACTACGGTTCATCATATGTGCAATTGAAAAGGCATTCAAATTTGAACAATATGGTTGATTTCTAAAGGTCTCCTTTTTTTATACAGGGTGTCTCAAAAAAACCCAAAATCATTGAAATTGACGTATTGTTCGATATTCAATGCCCTAGCACTAAGTTAATCCCACGAGTGCATAAAAGATTGACATAACTGCTATAATGAATGGTAATACTCAGCGTAAACTTGTTATGTCAGGCATAAAGTACTAAACCCACGAATTTACGAAGCATTTTTAAATTCCCATGAGCAAACAAACGTTCACTTTACAAAGATATTTTAATTTTTTAAAACAAATTAATCACCCTGTCAAAATCCTTTGTGTTACGGCATTGAAATTCGAACAATACGTTATTTCAATGATTTTGGTTTTTTTTGAGACACCCTGTACACCCTGTATAACAATCCATTGCAATTGCTCGGAATGCAAACACCCCCGAAAAGGTTTTAAATCAAGTACAGAGTGTATCAAATAGCGCCTGTTCAGCCACATGGATAGTTAGTTGGCCTAGTTTTCGTACACGCTGTATAAGGCCAATGAAAATTGATATCATGTTTCTCGTCCACAATTTTCAAAAATTTGGACCGGGATTTTTTCATTTTTCATTATTTTTTGTATTTGAATTGCTTGTCAATAATTTCCTTGAACCAGTACAAAACCTCATAAAAATCTGAAGTAAATCGGTGTATAATTCATTTTAATTTAATACGTCCTACACTACAGTTATATTTCTATACATATACGTACGGATATACCAGGGCTGACATGAAAAATAGAGGCATTCTGGCGAGTAATTTCTTTAGAAAGATACAATTTGAGTTGCGCTTGCGGAATGCAGCAATAAGTCTTTGACTTTGATCTGGAGATCAATTTGGTGTTTTGTTAAGCCTATTTTTCAAAAATAATGAATAATGAAAAATTTTCGTGCGGCAGATAAATCCCATGCGGGCGGGGACGAGAAACATGATATTAATTTTCATTGGCCTAATTGTTAAATCATGTTTACCAATTATTTTTGCGATATGATACGTTTTAGAATTTAGTCGAGAGAATCAAAACTGTCAATCAAAACAAAATCTGTATCCGATTCGATATTAAATTATATAATGAATTTCCCTCATAATTTTTAAAATTTTCTTTACTTGAGGGATACGCTCACTTCTACGTTATATTTCTAATCCAAAAACGAGAAGCGAGCAAATGCTATCCCATTAATCATCACAAGAAGCATAGCCTATCGAAGGGAAGATGGCTGTGAAACTCATTAGAATAACAATATAACTGATCATTAGAGAGTTTGAGCAAGACAACGAAGTACGAAGACGAAGGCATACTTGACAATTTTTGCCGTCTGTACATTATCTTGCGCATACTGAGTTGGACGTCACTGGTGGTTGCACAACGTGTCTTCCCATGTGTCGCTGTTTATGAATACTGACCATAAATCATAATTCTTGCCCTGATCCAGAAAAAAACAGCGAGACATAAAACTATATATCCCGTCTTTGTCCTTCTGCCTTCGTGCAGAACGAAGTTCACAACGAATTTTGCAAAAATATTCGTTGTGAACGAAGGCAGAAGACGAAGACGGGATATGGATTCTTGTCTCGCTGTTTTATCCTGATCAGGGTAAGGATTTGGGTCAGCATTCACAAACAGCTAGACATGAATCTCTAATCTGTCTTCACTCCTGACCCTAAACTCAGAATGTGCAAGGTAATGTGCAAGACAGGCAAAAATTGTCAACCACGTCGTCGTCGTCCGACTTCGTTTTCTTGCTCAAACTCTCTATTATCTATGTAGTACCGTCCCGTGTGTATTGTATTTTTACCCAACTAACCAATAGCAATGTTTTAGGAAAGTCACCTATCCGTGACTCGAACAATAGGGAAACTGGAAATTGCTATTGGTGGATTTGGTAAAAATACAATACACATGTGACGATGAAAGCACCAGATTTATGAATAAACGTTGACTAACATAGATAATGAGAGATATTGTTATTCTAATGACAGCCATCTTCCCTTCTGCGAAATGAAATAATTTTATCCAATCCTATATATAGAACTGAAGTATAGTTGTAGCCAAGAAATTAAATATATGACATTCAAAAACTCATTAATAATTCATGAAGCAATTATCCAATCTTGAGTAAGAAATTAGTCACGTGCATACGTCTTTATACCAGCTAAAGAACACTTTAACAAAAGACCATTGTTATGCAAACTATATAAAGATTTTTATATAAAGATACATACGTTTTTGAAGCCATTTAAAAAACTCGCGGGTCGTGCTTTATTAGGTTTAAAGCAGGAATCTATATAAGCGCCCTGGTTTAAAGCCACTCGCGCTGCGCGCTCGTGGCTTTAAACCTAATAAAACATAGCTCCTGTTCGTTTTTTAAATAGTACATAAACCTCTCCCAATATAAAGCTGCTGCTATCAAAGCATCTTTTTCTTCAAAGTTTGGGTCTGCAGAGCATCCCACAAAAAATGCGAGATTATATTAAAGAGAATTAAACACTTCTATTGTTCGTTTTGTTTAATTTTATTCAATATGATATTTATTTATGTTATTAAATGGTTGACAAATCTAAAAGCAATAGACACTATTGTTCAAACAGGCTCAAAAATGTTTCATCCAAGAACTATATAGAATGATGCTGAACTGGTTTGAACCTATACTAACTAGTGCTTGACGCGTAAAGGAGATCAAAAGTTGAAACAAAATTGAATGTCTGCATGACAACTTATTAATTGTCGTTATTTGACGGTCTGTTGCCTTTCCAACAAACGAGCGGTTTTTAAGAAGATATCTTCTTTTTCATCCCTCGCACCTTCACCATGGATTGAATCTTTTTCACCATGACGCTTTGTTTACGGTTTTTCTTTGGTTGACTGGACCTTGGCTGAATTACCTCATCTTCGACACCATGGGAATATTGTTTTTCAGAAGGGATGAAATTGCCTTTTTTTTGTTGTACTTCTGCTTGTACAGGAGCAATTAACGCACGTTCCTATATAATTAATGATAAATTAGCTTCAGATTAATATTACTTCTGTTTATTTACCTGGTTAGTCGATGGAATCACCTTTCCACTCTTGGCTCTAGTAGTAATAGTTTTATTGATCCATCTTTAGTGTAAAAATACAATGGATTTACAGTAAAAATCTAAGTAGTAGTCTAGTAGTTATATGTACAGATAAAAATTGTAGGAATAGTTATAAAAATATTGTCTATAATAATGAGTTTGTTCTGGGAATGAACGATAGTTCATGCCTTTTAGTGTATGAGAAAATTCCGGGAAGACTTTTTGGTGTTCTTAGGTCATACTTGTTCGTCACCATGTCTGGTATGTACTTCCTGCATGGGTGTGTTTCGTCATTAATGACTTTCTCGTACTCGCGAATTGAAAGTTTATCCCGACGTTGTTCTAGAGATTGAAGAGAATCAGAAGGTAGACCCAAAATTTTCAGGCTTCTATTCTGGATACTCTCCAGTTCGTCAGTAAGGGCACCTCGGGGATACGTGTTTATTCACCTCGGCGCTGCGCGCCTCAGTGAATAAATCACATATCCCCGGCCTCGTTGCCTCCGTTGTGGCAGGCCACCACGAATTGGGGCCGCATATTCCAAAACCGGTCTTAATTTGGATTCATAGCACGTCAAACCCACATTAGTTGGTAGATCTGCTCGACGACACTCTCGTAGGTAGACTAAGCGTTTGTTTGCCCTCCTTGCAATTTCGTCAATGTGGGTGTTCCATTTTAAGGGTATTGTCAATCCAAAGACCTAGCAACTTGAATGACTTTACTCTTTCAATTGTATCATCGCCAATTTTAAGATGTGGTGGTTCCGGAATTGCAGCTTTAAAGCAGATCCACATGTCTTTCGTCTTTTTCGCGTTAAGTTTCATCTTGTTTCTATGTGCCCAGTCGTCTAGATCAGTGCCTCCACTCCCTTAATTCTGCTGCACATGTGCACACTTGTAAACCGCATTAAAGACCAGAAAGTCGTGTTGGAGGGATATTTATGGCCAGTTTTTGTATTTTTTTACATTTGTAGCTACGAAATTGGCGCCGCCAATTTTAACGAAATTTGCGATGCATTTTTCACTCTTTAGTGCTTGAAATATTTGCTAAAATTGACTGGAAATACTTAGAGCCTTCATCGTAGAATGGCCTAGTTATATTTATTTGCTCTTTGACTAAAATGTTTAGCTGTATTATTGCTAAACATGCCATTTTTGAGAATTTGGTTTGCAACTAGGTTTCAACGCCATCATCCCATTGAAAACATTAGGTCACGTCAGCTAGTTTCCTACCATGTATTTTATTATCCATGGTAGTACACAAAATACGGTCCAAAAATTAAGGTCAGTAGGTAGATGTCTTTAAGTTTTATTTAACAATTAGACTACGAGCTTGAGATACTACGAAGCCCGACTAATCAACTATCATCTCATAGAAATCGAGTAATCTAATTGTTTTAGTAGAATACAGTAGAATCAGAGCCAGAGATGTCAGAGATCAAACATAAAATATTCCATAAAATAATTCAATAAAATAACACGAGCCGGAAGCTATTTTAAAAATGTAGCCAATCGTATTATAATTCACTAGAATTTTAATGGTCAGAACTTTCTTTTGACTAGATTATAACGTTCGGTGGGAAAAGTGCATCTCGGCTAATGGACCTATTGCCTAATGAACAAAATTTTGATCTAGACAAGTCTAGACAAAAATTTCAGCACAGCTTGAAAGAGCATCACAAAATTAGTAATATCCCGAAGTTTCGTTGCGAAATGTTGTAAAATGCGGATAATATAGTCCTGCGAAGTTTGCCGTTTTTCAGTCATTTTGTATTATACGCGCGGGAAATTGATACCTTTTTTCAGAAAGCGGTATCAATTTCCCGTGCGTAATACAAAATGCATGACTGAAAAACGGCAAACTTCGCAAGGCTATATTATCCGCATTTTACAACATTTCGCAAGGAAACTTCGGAATATTACTAATTTTGTGATGTTCTTTCAAGCCGTGATGAAATTTATGTCTAGATCAAAATTTTGTTTATTTATAGGTAATAGGTCGATTGACGTCTCCCCAGCCTTGAACTAGTCAGACCTTCTATTTATATTCAGCGCTTTTTCACATCCAACCAAAAATTAATTAGACCTAAACAAAAGTAAACTTATGCGAACGCTTTTTGTAATTTAATTTGAAGCGAGCTAAGTAAGCCAGGTCCCGAAATCTAAATCACAGTCTAAATCGTTTGATCTTCCTCCCCGCGCAGGTAGACGAGCATTTGCATGCACAATCAAAATTACGAACCGGGTCATTATTATTATTATTATTATTATACCTGGATAAGATATACATTCAATATAAAGTCCAGTCCGTCTGCTTCGAATGCACACTTCGCCGTAATGCGGTCGAAATCGATGGTGTGATATCCATTCTCGACGTTTTTATCCACAAAAACAAGCTCTGCTTCAGAGTCGCAATCATCATTCAAAGTTAACATGTAAACAGCATATTTGAATGTGGTACCCAAAGCGCTACTTTCTATTTTACCACGAATGCATATACGATCAGCAGGTACCCCAGATATGCCATACGAGACCCACAGAGATCTAACGCTATTCCATGCGATATACTTTGTATAGTGGGCGGAAATTACAACAGGTTGTTTGTGACTTTCGACAAAAAATGGTGCAGGGGTTTCTACCACAAGCTTTTCACCTTTCCATTTAGCGTTTTCTAGTTTATCCGGCGTTCTGTTTCAAACAACGAACTTTAAAGTGCCATAATCCAGTAAATATGGCTTCAAAACACCAAACAGACCAGTTGCAGCAACCGAGGTTTGCCTGGCTACTGCGGCTTGACCCCAACCCGTCAAAGACCACTTAGCTGCTGATCTTTTTACACTCGTGTTGTTATCCCGCAACGAGTAAGAAACAGCGAACAAAACGCTGAATATACACAAGTAATTTAATAGTTTTCCCATTTTAACCGAAAGCAGAGGCAGAGACTTGAAACACTCCTTATCAGTGTGTGGATGCGATTGCTTGCAGAACAACGGTTGCCGGCCTATTATACTATTCCTGGTGATGCAACGCAGCCATTGTTCAATTTGCTGATAAACAATAAATATAGATGAGATCACTTCTTTTTTGTTTAAATTATCAAACTGAAAAACAAACTAGAATATAAATCAATGACAAAATTATTCTCTTTTGAAAGTGATTTTCAGGGGTTTTTTTACACTCGTGTTGTTATTCCGCAACGAGTAAGAAACAGCGAAAACAACACTGAATATACACAAGTAATTTAATAGTTTTCCCATTTTAACCGAAAGCAGAGGCAGAGACTTGAAACACTCCTTATCAGTGCGTGGATGATTATTGCTTGCAGAACAACGGTTGCCTATTATACTATTCCTGGTGATGCAACGCAGCCATTGTTCAATTTGCTGATAAACAATAAATATAGATGAGATCACATCTTTTTTGTTTAAATTATCAAACTGAAATAACAAACTAGAATATAAATCAATGACAAAATTATTCTCTTTTGAAAGTGATTTTCAGGGTTTTTTTACACTCGTGTTGTTATTCCGCAACGAGTAAGAAACAGCGAAAACAACACTGAATATACACAAGTAATTTAATAGTTTTCCCATTTTAACCGAAAGCAGAGGCAGAGACTTGAAACACTCCTTATCAGTGCGTGGATGATTATTGCTTGCAGAACAACGGTTGCCTATTATACTATTCCTGGTGATGCAACGCAGCCATTGTTCAATTTGCTGATAAACAATAAATATAGATGAGATCACATCTTTTTTGTTTAAATTATCAAACTGAAATAACAAACTAGAATATAAATCAATGACAAAATTATTCTCTTTTGAAAGTGATTTTCAGGGTTTTTTTACACTCGTGTTGTTATTCCGCAACGAGTAAGAAACAGCGAAAACAACACTGAATATACACAAGTAATTTAATAGTTTTCCCATTTTAACCGAAAGCAGAGGCAGAGACTTGAAACACTCCTTATCAGTGCGTGGATGATTATTGCTTGCAGAACAACGGTTGCCTATTATACTATTCCTGGTGATGCAACGCAGCCATTGTTCAATTTGCTGATAAACAATAAATATAGATGAGATCACATCTTTTTTGTTTAAATTATCAAACTGAAATAACAAACTAGAATATAAATCAATGACAAAATTATTCTCTTTTGAAAGTGATTTTCAGGGTTTTTTTACACTCGTGTTGTTATTCCGCAACGAGTAAGAAACAGCGAAAACAACACTGAATATACACAAGTAATTTAATAGTTTTCCCATTTTAACCGAAAGCAGAGGCAGAGACTTGAAACACTCCTTATCAGTGTGTGGATTCGATTGCTTGCAGAACAACGGTTGCCTATTATACTATTCCTGGTGATGCAACGCAGCCATTGTTCAATTTGCTGGTAAACAATGAATATAGATGAGATCACTTCTTTTTTGTTTAAACTATCAAACTGAAATAACAAACTAGAATATATATCAATGACAAAATTATTCTCTTTTGAAAGTGATTTTCAGGGGGTTTTTTACACTCGTGTTGTTATTAACCAAACTTTGCAATTTTACTCATTTTAGTAAGCTCTTTCTAGCTGTGGTGATTTATTTGCATCTCCTTGCCTAGTTTTAAAATTAGTCTATAATGGGAATTGTCTGTTGAATAGTCTTGTTTCTAAAACTTTCGCTTTTGTTGTTCATAATTTATTTCTTGTTTTTATTTTTCAAGGATATATAGCCTACAAAAGGTTAATTTGAACAAAATAAATCATATTAACCTTTTGTATATATCCTTGCAAAATAAAAACAAGAAATAAACTAATTTAATAGTTTTCCCATTTTAACCGAAAGCAAAGCCAGAGACTTGAAAAACTCCTTATCAGTGCGTGGATGCGATTGCTTGCAGAACAACGGTGACGCAATGCACCCGATTGTTCAATTTGCTGGTATAATAGATAGAGATCGCTTCTTTCTTGGCTTAAATCGTCAAACCCAAATGACATTGAAACTAAAATACAGGGTGTATAAAAAAAAGGTAATCGAACTTCAGCGCGCTATTATACGTGAATTACTCGGCGTATGAACAATTGGTTTTCATATTCGGAAAGATCAGGCTTTTAGCTATTGAATGACATGCCTTTCATGCCAAGTGGAGAAAAAATAAGCATGTACGAGGCCGATTAAAAATGTTAGTCAAAATCGCATATTTTCACCTCTGTGCCTAATTGAAACAATGCATAACAAAAGAAAAAGCAATTAATCACTAACGTGTCGTAGCTTAGCTAAGATTTATTCCAACTTAATAATAATTATGAATATGTGTGCAGTTTAATGAAATTCATCAACTTAATTAAGTCCTAAAGGGGCTTCATTTTCAATGGTTTTAGACCCAACTCTCAACGGCGAAAATATGCGATTCTGACTAACATTTTTTATCGGATTCGCTCATTTTTTATCCATTTGGCATGAAGAAGATATCATTCAACAGCTAAAAGCATGATCTTTCCGAATGTGAAAAAATCTCGTTCATACGCAGAGTAATTCAGATACAATAGCGCGCTAAAGTTCGATTATCTTTTTTTTATACACCCTGTATAACCGGATCCATGACAAGAGTAGTCTTCCTTTAAAGTGTAATTTCAAATTCGCTTTAGACCTCTATTTCACTCAGGGCACTATCCCTCTCTCCTCCGCAGAGGCTTTAATTGGCTATGAAGGCGCGAAGCCTTGCCTTTTTCCTTTGCCGCCTGCGCTCCTTCGCCCAGCGGCTACGCTCGTGTTCCACGATCCGCCATGTAAAGTGTAGTGAAATGTATCTCACCCTAATATTAAATCCTAAGAAAACTAAAGCCTCTGCGGAGGAGAGAGGCACTATCCAATATCAGCTCCAATTAACAATGATTGACGCCTTATCATGTTAAAATTAACTATATAAATTTTTCATCAAGTGGTCAGATTTGGCCAACTAAAAAAGTTCTCATCAGCATCCGCATTAAGAAATAGTACATTCTATGGTGGTATTCTAGAATGATTTTAGAACACAAACCTACACAGCCGGAATTTAATTCAATCTACCGCACACCAGGTGATATACTACAAGAGTCAATAGGAATGCCTTGATGGTATAGAACAGGTACCAGTGACTTACGTAATCACTGAGTCGGTGTACATTCATTTCATTTACAACAACTACACACGCAAAAATCTCGCATCTTGTAGCAAGTCTGCTTACAAGCTGTCGACAAGTTGTCTTCGCACTGCTTGGCCAAAGTTGTCAACAAGTTGGAACAACCTTGTTGATATTATCAGGCTTGTTACAAGGTTGTCCCAACAAGTCCGACACAGTCATAATATAACAATATTGTTACAACCTAGTAACATTCTTGTTATATTATGACTGTATCAGACTTGTTAGAACCATAGAGATTATAAATAACACTAGAGGAGGCATTGTAATCTTAATTCAGTAAAAAAAGGGAACGCGACTATTGGGGGGCAAATTCAAATCCCGGATGTGTATTCGTGTTCCCATTGGTGACGAGTTTCAAATCAGCCAATGAGAGCACGATTTTATATCCGGGACTTGAATTTGCCTCCCATTAGCTGCGTTCCCAGTTTTTAAACTTAATGCCTCCTCTAGTGTTAAGTTATAATCTCTATGGTTAGAACAACCTCGACAAATCTGATAATGCCATCAAGCTTGTTACAAGTTATTAACAGCTTCTTCCAAACTTGTTCCAACAACTGGGAACAAGCATTGCGAACACAACTTGTCGACAGCTTGTGAACAGATTTGTAACAACTTGTGCAATTTTACGTGTGCACACTCTAAAAACACACGGGGTTAAAAATTTCCTGCTTAAATTAATCTATGGCTATGTTTACATTGTATCGGATCCGGTTTTCCTTGCTTCGCGAAACATTATGACTCAAGAGAATCAGAGCTGTAAGTTTGTGTGAATCAGGACGAAATCTGTATCATATTTACAGATATTAAATTATATATACTGAATTTTCTTTATAATTTTTAAAATTTTCTTCATTTCATGGACAGGTTAATTAACTTCTACGTTATACTTCCAATCCACAAACGAGGATCGAGACGAAGCTGATCACGAGGACTGAAGCGAGAAAATGATATCTCATAAATCATCAGTACATGAAGCGAAGTAATTTTATCTAATCCCATACGGGCACAGGACTGAAGCAGTTTCGACCAAAAAATGTATGATAAGTAATGTTTACAACATGAGCGGCCGTGTTGTATCAGATATACAAACTCGAGCCGAAGGCGAGAGTTTGTATATCCGATACAACACGGACGCGAATGTTGTAAACAACTTAAAAAACGACTCATCTTATGAGTTCATTGGCGAAGTAATTTTAAAAATAAACGTTGTCTAAGCCGAGAAAATCAAAGTTAAAGTTTATGTAAATCAACATGAATCTGTATCACATATACAGATACGACACGCTTATGATTTTTCTTTGTGTTTTCTTCTTTGAATTATTAATTAGTTTTTTAATAATATATATTAAAGCTGCCATCAAACTATCTTTTTCTTCAAAGCAATCCACAAAAAAATGTGAGATTACCACAGGAGATTAGTATTACTAAAGAACAAAACACTTCTATTCTTCGTTTTGTTTAATTTTATTGAATATGGTATTTATTTATGCTATTAAATGATGGACACATTTAAAAGCAATCGAGACCAACGGCAACGTCAGGGCTGGTTTACTCTATGAACGAAACTTGGCACTGAATCAGTTCTCTCAAACATTTTACATGTCCTCTCCCAATATAGATCTGCTATCAAACCATATTTTTCTTCAAAAATTGAGTGTGAGCATATGCGATTACCACTGGAGAATATCGGTTTTGTTTAATTTTATTGAATATGGTATTTAGATAAGAATTTTGCATACGTGAATTCTAAGTTTTGAAGGATTTGCAAGAAATGTTTGAGGGTAGTGACTTGGTGTTTAACACAATGTTGGTTGAAAAGTTTGAATAAATTCAAATAAAGTCAAACATGATCCAATATCTGTCAATACCGGCCATGTTCAAACAGAACCAAGAATGTCGCATCGAACAATTCAGGATGTTGAACTGTGTTGGACTGATCTGAAAAGACCTGCTTGACGAGCGCTGAGCAAAGAAGGCCGCAAGTGAAAACAAAACGGAAAAGATGTCTGACAAATTTTAAAGCTCCGTCTTATTTGAAGCTCTGTCTTTCCAACAAAGGAGTGAAATTTACGGAAGATATCTTCTTCTTCTTTCCTTGCACATCCATCGGTTTAACTTTTAGCCCCCCGCTTGGCTTGCGGTTTTTCCTCAGTCGGCCATTCGGTTGAACCTTAGCATTCATCATCGGTTTAACTTTTCTTCCCCCGCTTGGTTTACGGTTTTTCCTCAGTCGGCCACTGATCCTTGGCTGAACTGCTTCACCATAGGAAAGCTGTCTTGCAGGTGGGACGAAAATAGCCGTATTCCACGCCGGTGGGCCATATGAAGGCAATCTGTTTACATTGGATGGTACTTTTGGTAAATCTGGTTCATTCACATTTGTTGTTCCTTGCTGTGATGGTGGTTCATTCGCGGTGTCCGTATTTTCGCCCGGTTGAATGTCAGTGCCTTCTTTATCCCCATCCACTGGCATTATGCCCTGTTGAACCTGATCAGGCTTGTTCTGGTTATGCTGGCTTTGGTCAGGATTGTTCACGTTAGGCCGGTTCACGTTAGGCAGGTTCTGGTTAGGCTGGCTGTGGCCAGGCTTGTTTACGTTAGGCTGGCTCACGCTAGGCTCGTTCACTTTAGGCGTGTTAACGTTAGGATGGTTCACGCTAGGCTCGTTCACTTTAGGCTCGTTCACTTTATGCGTGTTAACGCTAGGCTCGTGCACGTCAGGCTCGTTCAATTTAGGCTCGTTCACTTTAGGCGTGTTAACGTTAGGATGGTTCACGCTAGGCTCGTTCACGTTAGCCTCGTTCACGTTAGGCTGGTTCACGCTTGGCTCGTTCACGCTAGGCTCGTTAACGTTAGGATGGTTCACGTTAGGCTCGTTCACGTCAGGCTCGTTCAATTTCGGCGTGTTCACGTCAGGATGGTTCACGTTAGGCGTGTTCACGCCGTGGTTCACGACAGGATAGTTCACGTTAGGCGTGTTCACGTCAGGATAGTTCACGTTAGGCGTGTTCACGTCAGGATGGTTCACGTTAGGCGTGTTCACGCCGTGGTTCACGTCAGGATGGTTCACGTTAGGCGTGTTCACGTCAGGATAGTTCACGTTAGGCGTGTTCACGCCGTGGTTCACGTCAGAATGGTTCACGTTAGGAGTGTTCACGCCGTGGTTCACGTCAGGATGGTTCACGTTAGACTATGGTTCACGTTAGGCGTGTTCACGTCAGGATCACGCTAGGCTCGTTAACGTTAGGATGGTTCACGTTAGGCTCGTTCACGTCAGGCTCGTTCAATTTCGGCGTGTTCACGTCAGGATGGTTCACGTTAGGCGTGTTCACGCCGTGGTTCACGACAGGATAGTTCACGTTAGGCGTGTTCACGTCAGGATAGTTCACGTTAGGCGTGTTCACGTCAGAATGGTTCACGTTAGGAGTGTTCACGCCGTGGTTCACGTCAGGATGGTTCACGTTAGGTTCACGCGTGTTCACGTCAGGATGGTTCACGTTAGGACTCGTTCACTTTAGGCGTGTTCACGTCAGGATGGTTCACGTTAGGCGTGTTCACGTCAGGATGGTTCACGTTAGGCGTGTTCACGTCAGGATGGTTCACGTTAGGCGTTTCATGTCAGGATGGTTCACGTTAGGCTCGTTCGCGTTAGGCAGGTTCTGGTTAGGCTTCCTCTGGTCAGGCCGATTCACATAAGGCAGGTTTACGTTGGTCAGGTTTTGATCAGGCTGGTTCTGGTCAGGCTGGTTCTGGTCAGGTTTGTTCTGGTCAGGCTGGTTCTGGTCAGGCTGCTGCCTCTGTTTCGTCCACGCCTGAAGCATCCCATCCATACCCAGGGGCGGCAAATCACCAAAATTCAAAATATATACATTCAACGTGTGAGCCAGCCCGTGCGACACAACAGCACACTCAGCAGTAACGTATTTCCAATACGATTTATATCCATTCCCCTTGTTTTCAGACACAAAAACATTTTCAGGTGGCGAGCGGGGTTGATCACAGGCATTAGAACCGGTTACATAAACAGTGTACATGAATTTGGGTCTTCGCAACAAGCCGTTCATTTTCAACTTCCCATAAATACATATGCGACGATCAGTTTGGGATATGCTGTACGAGACCCACAATGTTTTAGGGGATTTTTTTAGGACAGATTTTGTGTAGTGGGTAACGATTTCAACCGGATGGCTTTGACTTTCCGCAACCCTCGACAAAGGAGCTTCCATTTCGAGATTTTGGACTTTCCACTTCGCGTCTAGAAGATCTGAAGGCGTTTTATTCCAGATTTTGATCTGTATTGCTCTGGGAATCACAAGAGTTCGCTTGCCTTGCTTTCCCAATCTCGTTTGGGCCACATGGCGCCCGAATGAAAAAGTTGACTTCTTGGCAGCCAGCAAAGCGCTAAAGATATAGAGGAAATTAAATAGTTTAACCATCTTCTTCTCTTCAAAACACTGCTTTTCGTCTCGATGTAGTTGTTTGAACAGCAGTGATTTGACTTTTTTACTGGTGACAAAATTATCACCAACTGTTAAATCTGCTGGTACATAATGCATTTTCACAGTGAGTGGTATATCCTAAATCGTCTTTGAATTTATACGAGACAAACCGTTACGATGAATTTGAAAAAAAAACTTGAAGCAATAAAATCATTGAATGCCAAAATATTTTAATCCAAAACAAGTGCTGCCATTTTAATTAAACTAACCCTGGCAACCTTTAATTGCTAAAAGCGAATTCACTAAAACAATTTAGCCCGTCTATTTGGCGTCACAGCAGTGTACCATGATCATAGCAGCTTGATCCTTTGCCATGTTAGCTATCAATTTTTAATCAAGCATTTAGATTTCTCACAAATATGTTATGTTTTATTTGGGATTAAAGGGAATTAAAAATAACATGTTTTTGTTATTGCCTATTGGCTCCGTAAACAAAATTGACAAGTGTTCCATACTCGAAGGCTGGTTTAATTAAAGTTTCTGTGATCACAGTAGGAATTTTGCATAGATAAATTTTAAGTTTTGAAGGATTTGTAAGAAATATTTTAGGAAACTGACTTGGTGTTAAACACAGAGCCAGTTCCCTCGAACATCTCTTACAAAATCTTTCAAAATTTATCACAACTAACTTTAATTAACTTTAGACCAGCCTTTAGGAAAATTTATCCTACAGCTTTGCCAATGTCATAATCAACCAATCACGAAGCCCATATTCCTTATATCATGTCATGTCACACTGAATCAATGATTATTTACTAATTTATTAAGTTTTGCCAGCATTACAAATGTCACACAATTTATTAAAGCAAGCAATATGTGTCGCTGGGAGACAGCAACCACTTTTACTCAGCCCATTTCCTGCGACCATGCAAGTAACTGCGGCCCCAGTTAAGTCATCATGGTAAAGCAAATTGCCTCCCTCATACAAACACTTTGTTTTTTGTCTGTTGTGTTGGTTTTATACCTAATAAGTACTTAATATGAACACAGTTTTTTATTGGTTTTCTGAAACAGAAGTGCATGTCTATGACTTATTCTTTAGAAAGATACTTTCTATGACTTGTCATAATAAACCAATCAGAAAGCAGCCGGTATTGGAGAAGTTCTAATCTATATTGAGCAAATCTTCAGTTTGTTGAGAACTATTCTCAGCATCTTCGTTCAAAGTTGGACTGGTCGAAGCATTGCTGTTTTCAATCGCAGCTGGGTTGGTAAGAAAACTAGGCATACCAATCTTGAATGACATCACCCAACGATAAATACTCTGTTTCTTCCTATCTGTACACATTATATTAATCTCATCCTTTTCGTCCAATTGAACCACAAATTTATTTTCAGCGTCGCCAGATCGGATACAAAAGTCATTACCACGCTGATCGTAAATAACTATCTCTGCATTTTTCCATGTTTCTGGTGACTCTGCGTCAAGTTTTGTGATGGTCGCTTGTAGCATTTGTCTCAGTGTTACATACAAGTCTGGGTCATCCACCCGTCCTTCGTTGCCACAATATTTCACAATCAGTTTACCAATGGTACGTTTGGTTATGGCAGGAACTGTTTCCTTGAATAAATTCATTTATTATTGGTATTATTTTGATGAAGCAATGAAACCCCCCCCCCCCCCTAGGTACTTTCTGTCATTCAGAGGGGGGATGTACTGCCGATAATGGCAAAATGTACTTGGACATCCAAAGGGGCTGGTAAAAGGTTTAACTTCTAAATTCCTCCAATTGGGAATTCTGGATGTTTTCTGTAATGACCCATTATTATTATTTTTATATAAATTTGTTAACCACCTGAGTTACACAGTGAAGTTGGTCTTACCTCGAATTGATAACCCCAGGTGGATCTCAGCTAAACCAGGCTAGGTATTTTCATTAGATAAACCTAGTTACCAGGAAGGTTTGCTCAGGTGGGCTTGTTGTGTAGGGGTGCACCGGATTTCAAATCCGGCCGGAATTCCGGCCGGATTTAACAAATTTTCCGGCATCCGGCCGGATTTGGAGAAAATCCGGCCGGATTAAAATTTTTGTTTTCACCTTAAAAAAATTCACCAAGAATGGGATAAACCATCAATTTGGCAGCTTTAGAGTTTAAAAAACACTTATATTATTATAAAATATTAAGTTATTAACAAAAAAATATTTAAAAAAGGTTTAAACACAATCAAAAATCTAAACTGACACTAACTAAAAATAGTAAAAAACATAAATCGCCATTTTGAATACTGATTTATCCACAATTGTCCCCATTACCGGTTTATTTTAAATCTGGCAAATCCGGCTGGAATTCCGGCCAGAATTTTTGTCCAAATCCGGTAAATCCGGTTCCGGCCGGATTTGAAAATTCCAAATCCGGTGCACCCCTATTGTTGTGTGAGCCGGCCAGCCTGGAGTTTCACGATTGTGTACTAATTACGCATGGGCAAAATTTCTGTCTGTAAACCAAGCTAGCTTGGGTATCTGGTCCCAGAGTTAGCCCTCTTCCCTATAAAGCCCCTCTCACAAACATGACCTGTCGGACAGATGCGACTTGATGATCCTGTCTGTAGTAAAATCAAGGCTATAAATTTGAAATTATTCCCCATCACTTCAGCTCAAGGGTTTTTTCAGTCTGTCATTTTCTTAGCGAGTGCCCTAAAGAGAGGCCATCACCCAATGAAAATATATTGAGAATTTAATGTACCGGGGGGGGGGGGATGTGCATGCCTCTCCCCAGGGCACTTGCTGAGAACATGGCCGACAAGTATGGGAAGCAGAAACTACCTTACGTTTTTATCGCAAGTCAGACCTCTTATTGTTAGTACCGTGCCATAAAACCCCTCATACTCTGGCTCCAGACACTGGTAAATAAAGAAACAGAAATCCATAAAGCATAGAAGTGTATAGAAATTAAAATATATACCTGCACTGAGTATGGTATTTCTCTTGTGGAATTTCCAGCTCCCATTTTGTACCAGAATATTCTCCTACAACCGATTAAAACATTCAAACGCAAAAACCTTGTAGCCAGCAATTTTAAAACAATTCCGCACAGCAGACAAACTCGTTTTTTCACGTTTTCAAAGTATTAAACACAAAACAGAATGTTCTCCAACGAATATAACTTTTAGAAACGAAAGCACATACGATAATTTATTCTTGCAATATATTTTTTCGGTTTCGAGAAAATTCCTTATTATCATAAAGTAAAATTTCCTTGATCATGTTTGTATATAAATATGTGCTTCTTCAAAGATATTTTAACGTTATTTAGGTACGTAGTTTCGTGTATTTTAGTTCAATGAATGGCAGTTTATTCTAGAATACTACATAAAGTACTTATTTTCATAAAATACAATGAAATTTTATTGATTTCCAATCAACTTCCTTGTAAATTTCCGAAGAATTTTCCTCTGAACTCCTATGATCCAGAGGGGAACCCCCTACGGGGGAATTCCCTTCGCTTATATTTTGGAATTTTTTGCAGTCATTTAGCCCAAAAAACGTTATAAAAACTACTTACTTACTAATATTACGCTTACTGACATTTTCTATGTAAAAAGTCCGACTGAAAACCGGATAAACTTTCTTCTATGGCAAATGAACAATGAGCATCACCCTTTTTCTCTACTACTTAATGTATTCATGTTTATCATGTGACAATTCTTTGTTTTAAATTAAATACTGTATCATATCGCAATCATTGCCGGCAAAAATTGAACGAAAGCAGTGTACTGTACAAACAGTCAAAGGAAATCAGCACAATAAACTATGGCACCAGCCCATCAGGTTTGTACGTCTTTCTGTTCATCTCCTATACATCCTAATTCTTTAAAGACCGCGCTTTGTTTACATTTTGAACTCAGTGCTACAGTTCTAAAATATTACTATTAGATATATACCGGGTGGCGCAAAAAAAAGTTCACGCGTTTGATTTAGTACAGCGAAAAAACTATAAGTGTTACGTTCCTCAAATAAATGTTATCCTATCCACGAAGGCCTAACTTAAATTTTGATGTATAACACATGCATTTTTGTTTAGTATTACCCAAGATATTGGTAAATCAATTTGAATATGCAATTTCAAAACGTTCCAAAATTAGCTGAAAATAGCCTATTAAATACGAGTAAAGGAATTAACGATATATGAAGAACACAACGGCAGTAAATAACGCGTTTATCATGGAAAATTAAATAACTATATTCTTGCACGTGTGACCATACTATCGAACGAACTAACGTTGGATTTATTTGCTGGTCAAAGTTATGGCAATCAGCAATAATCGCTTCACGAAGCTGTCTCAAATTGTTCGGTTGTTGATCTAATTTAATTCCCTGTAGCTATGGGACATGGAATACTGCGAAGCAATTCTTAATTAAAAGAGCCATCTTTTTCGAAATTTTGTTGCTTTTCAAATGATAATAAAACAAATAAATAAATAAGGAAAATCATTCGTTACACGTTTCAATTCAAATTAAATTCATACAAGCGAATATGTCTGACGAAATTCTAAAATTTATCAAAACAGTTTAATAGGCCATTTTTAGCCAATTTGTCAGATTTTCAAAACTTCGTTCCAAATTTTATTTGGCGATATCCCAGTCAATATTGCACGTAAATAAACATGCTATAGCTCAAAATTTAAGTTAGACTATTATGAATACAGCTACGTTTATTTCAGGGATGTAACCCTTATAGATTGTTCGCTGTACTAAATCAAACAGTTATACTTTTTTTTGCGCCACCCGGTATTATACTGAATTTTTAACACCCTTCTGATTTCGCTATGCTCGTAAGTGAATACAGACTAGAGATTCAAATATTCAATTCAAGAAAGTTCGGAAGGTGCGAAATATTAATAGGGAGCTTTAGCAGCGACGAGTACAACTGCTGTGACGACTACGAGTACGAGATTCGTCAAGCGAAACGGATGCTGTATGCTTTATACGGAGTTACGCCATTCCGTACTGACGCAAAAAAGTCGTAGCCGCCGCCTATCTGAGTACGAAATTGTGGAGAAATTCCGTAGTCCTCACGACGACTTATAAAAAAACAAAGAAAGTTTGCTTTTCTTTGTTTTCCAAAAATAATTTGTAGCGTTTATATAGCGTTTATCCGGCGCAAATAATATATTAGTACTAAATAGCTGGCTTGTTTTTAATGTTCTGACTTATTTGCACATTTTGTAGGGGATTTTAGTCTGCAGGAGATTTAGTTTATGAAACTTTTTCTCTCGTCGTTTGTTTACTGTTATAAAAGCAACATTTGAACGGAAACAAGAACGACTATACGGTGATTTCCTCGCACGCGATCAAATCACGTACTCGTACTCGCTGCTATTAAAAACTCCCTAATAACATTCCAACGGTCGAGTCCCGACCATTGGGATGTAGGCCCGCGCAGAACGTATGCGCAAGAACGGACTTTACATGGTCTTTAATGTACAATTATTTAACTAAAGCATTACATTTTAACTTCAGCCAAGACGTCTAGATGGCATTCTGCGTGAACCGTGCATCTCGGAGGTGACACACCACGACATCAACAAAGCATTAAGGCTTTGTCCACAGCAGTGTGACGACTGCCGACGTCTCGTGCAATGGGCGAAGGTATTCGTGACGAATATGCCCAGCCACGCAAGACGAAATTGCAAGATAGAAATCAATCCTCCTCACTTTACAGTGATTTACTGGTCAGATACAGGCTACCAAGAAAACCACTTTGTATTTCAGATGATAGGTGATAACATATATATCACCACTATGAATGAGAGTTGGAGAATGTGGTTTCAGCGACTGGCCAGCGAATTTTGGTCGTCAGTGAAGAATGCTGCTGGATATATCTTGAAGATAGTATTACGCGCACTAACAGGTGCGGATCGCGACGCATTGGAGTAATGGAAATGTGAACACTATTAAAAGGCTGTAAAGTCCGTTCTGCTTATCAGTTCTGCTCATATTTACAAAGGGAGACCCTCAATCTCTTACCCAGAGCAATGCTTTCGCCCGCGCACAGGCATTGCTCTGCATGGCTACGAGATTGGGCAATCTCGTTCCCAGAGTATGCCTGTTCGCGGGTTAGGTAGTGATTGGAGATTGGGAAAAGGGCACAAATATAAACATTGCCAAATTTTGCGTCTTTCGAACTTTTTTGAATTGAAACGTTATAGTTTATATTCATTGACATTATAGCGAACCAGAAAAGTGTTAGATATTCAGTTAGTATATCATATTTTACAATTGTAGCAGTTCAAAATGTAAACAAAACGTTTGTTTTGTACATATACGGACTTTACAGAATCTTTATTCTTTAACTAAAGCCCGCCGCACACGAGAGCAACTTGCTGAGTTAAGCGCCTCGCAAAGCGGTTAGCTCACCAAGCTGCTCTCGTGTGCGTATAGTTTTCGTGAGGATTTAACCTCTCGAGGCCTTGACGTAAATATCTATCGTGTTTGATATTTTTCACCTGGCGAAGAAAAAATCTCAGCGTCTGCGGATGTTGTGAGCTAAGTGTTGAGCTGTTTGAATGAATTAGCCAATGACAAACCATAGTTTCTTCATGTGACTTGGAACAAAATGGAGGAAAATGCAAATGATTTTGTCAATTATGTTGTTGTTGAGTAGTTTTCCCAACGTGTGCGGTGAAAATACATAGCTGAGTTAGCTGCCTCGCGAGGCGGTTAGCTCAGCAAGTTGCTCTCGTGTGCGACGGGCTTAAAATACGTCGATAGATCACTTTATATAATACCTTATTGAATTCTGATCGTTTAATTGTAATGTTGAATTTTGTGTTACTGTCTGACTGTCTTGTACCATTCATTTATTTAGTATACTTTTATTACTTCTATTTGGTAAATTACACTTACCACGGGCGAGAACGGAAGTAGCAAAACATTCTTTTTATTATAATGAATGCTTAACTTATAATAAAACCTTAGACAAAATTTTAACTTTGTTGACTATAGTAATGTAGATTTGACCATAATTTTATTGATGGTTTAATAGCTATAAATTTTATTGATGGTTATAATTATTTTATTGAATAAAATGGTGTTGTGTTGTGTTGTGTTGTGTTGTGTAGCTAGTAGCCGTATTTTTAAATAATATTTTAATCAGTTCTTTGTATGATTTATTATAATATTTAAATCTTTGTAATTTAGGTCAGGCCTCTATTGATAACAGGTGCATTTAGCACCTGACAGAGCAAACCCTGTTTTAAATTGAGATTTCATTCACTCATTCAATTTTGAAACAGACATGTAATGTATCTTTACAGTAAAAAACCTCATCTTGATCAACTTTTTCTCTGTCAAACAAAAAACAAAGGAAAATCAGTCAATTTGCAATTCACCTAATAGAGAGGTTAAGGCAGCGTTTACACTGTACCGTTTTCGTAGCGTTCTCGTATTGTTCGAGAGAACTAGACTATTGTCTTGCGTTCCCTTGAGGATTAAGAACAATACGAGAACGCTACGAAAACGGTACAGTGTAAACGCTGCCTAAGATACCCCGGTTTTGGTGTACGGGTACGAGTAGTGTCATCTTGTTTGACTGATGTCTGTAATTCGATCATACTTTTTCTGTTTTCTTGCAATAGACAATGACATAACGCGAAAAATGGGGTTAGGTTAAAACGCGGAAGCGGAACGGATATGGGGTTAAAATGCGGAACGGATATGCGGAACGGATATGGGGTTAAAATGCGGAACGGAACGGATATGGGGTTAAAATGCGGAACGGAACGGGAATAAAACGTTTTTTAAAAACAGACATGATTTTTCATGTTCCGAGTTTTAACCCCATATCCGTTCCGCATTTTAACCCCATATCCGTTCCGTTCCGCATTTTAACCCCATATCCGTTCCGTTCCGCATTTCCGTTCCGTTCCGCATTTTAACCCCATATCCGTTCCGTTCCGTTCCGCATATCCGTTCCGTTCCACATTTTAACCCCATATCCGTTCCGTTCCGTTCCGCATATCCGTTCCGTTCCGCATTTTAACCCCATATCCGTTCCGTTCCGCATTTTAACCCCATATCCGTTCCGTTCCGTTCCGCATATCCGTTCTGTTCCGCATTTTAACCCCATATCCGTTCCGTTCCGCATTTCCGTTCCGTTCCGCATTTTAACCCCATATCCGTTCCGTTCCGCATATCCGTTTCGTTCCGCATTTTAACCCCATATCCGTTCCGTTCCGTTCCGCATCCGCTTCCGCGTTTTAACCTAACCCCAAGGAAGAGGTAGACCTTAATTACGAGTAAAAGGTACAAGACATCGACGAAAATATTGCTAACCAAAATCATGCTACCTGTACACGTACACTGTCCGGGTATCTTAACCCCTAATGACATCATATCTGAAGTAGCTTGACAGTGAAAAAGTTGATCAAGATGAGATATTTATTATAAATTTAAGATATATTAAGATTACCTGAATGACTCAAACAATATTACACACACCAAAAATTATATTTGTAGTATTCGCAAATTTTAATTAGAAAGGTGTACTTCTTCGCGAGATAATTCCTCCACAAAAACAAAATTCATGTCATTTCGAGTTACTGAGATCGTAATTTCCAAAGTGTTCCATTAAATTTGACCAACCGAAGTGATTAATCCATAACATTCTACTATAAAGTATTACAATACGTTTACGATGATCTGGTTTCAATCAGTGTCTCATAATCAATAATTGCTCATCATATTGATTGAATTTAAAAACAGCTACGTTAACGCTTCAAACTTGTCGGACTGATGTTTACAAATATAGGCCTAAGAAAAATTGGCAATGTCAGACTGCATATATTGCGCACTGAATACGTACTATTTAAAACACAAGCAGGAGTGCTTTATCAGATATAAAACACGAGTAACAGCCAAGTGTATTATATCTGACAAAGCATGTACTGTACAGTACGTAAGTGTTTTACAGTCAAACCGGATGTTCTCTTGCAAGCAACATTGCAATATTGTCCCACAATATTGCAATTTTGATAGGTAGATTGCTTTGAGCAATTTGCAACCGACGTGAACAAATTGCAAGTTGGAAATTCACAAAAGATTTGTAAACAAAGCCTCTGATTGGATTATAAGAAAGAGGGAAGCCAATCAAATAGTCTGAGCAACTGGATTGGTGCTTCCCCCTTTCTTATAGTATAATCAGAGGCTTTGTTTACAAATCTTTTGCGAATTTCAACTTGCAATTTGTTCGCGTCGGTTGCAACTTGCTCAGAGCAATCTGCCTATCAAAATTGCAATATTGTGGGACAATATTGCAATATTGCTCGCAAGAGAACATCCGGTTTGACTGTAAATGTCTTAAAAAAATTACCCATCTTATGAGTTTATTGGTGAAGTAAATTTACAAGCTAAGCTATTAAATGCACCTATCAATGTTTTCCCCCTGAGGGGGGGGGGTGCGGGCAACCCACGGGAATTTTGACATTTTTCAAATTTTGTTGTCAAAATCCCCACTGTTGGGCAAGGAATGGCTGTCAAAATTCCCCACTATATTCCTAAGATAACAAGGCACACACATGTTTTCCAATGCGAACATACAGTCCATACTGGTTTAAACTTGGTAAAAATTGAGATACTGTGTATAAAAGGCTATAAAATACCTTTTTCGATGAAACTTGATCGTGCTTCTCCGCCATACTTGTTACCAGGCCTTTCAATGTCAAAACCGCGCAAACTTTCAAGATGGCGGATGTCAAAATTTCCCGACTATGGGAGTTGATGCATAGGTCAAATTCCCCTCACTAGGGCTTCATAGTGTGGTCAAAGTCCCCTGGGTCGCCCGCACCCCCCCCTCAGGGGGAAAACAATGATAGGTGCATAATTTTGATCACATATAAAACCACCGACAAGGTAGCGTTTTCCTTTTCCTTTTCTTCATGGATTATTATATAATGCGTTAAACTCATTTCAAAGTACAAAACTCACATTGTAAGAAACATACATGTAGTAAATCTTGAAATCAGCCCGACAAAAGGCAATATTCAAACGTACTGTAGCTCAAAAATTCCAACTGAATGTTTATATTCTACTCGTGGTGTATACTTATAATTTGTATATTGATAAAAGTGAAGTCTAAAGAAGGAGGGTCCCTAAGCAATCACACTTGCTTAATGTAGAGAGGTTCATAATTATTGTTCAAATATCTCAATTTTCTAACTCTTTGATTTTGAGTGGTTCATCAGCCACTGTAGAGTTATATCTACAAAACAAAAAAGGGAATTTGAAATTTATGGAATTCAATTCCCAATGACTTGAAAAATTGTAAGTCAGGCAAGACACTTATATAAACAAAACTTAAGGTGACTACTTTGATAAATGACTATGAACCCAGGTCCCTTACCACCTTAATATAATTTCTAGATTAGCTTCACTATTAGAATAATCTGTTGATCTGTTCTAATAAAACTTACAGTTTCTACCTATCTGTATCAATTATGTACTCACTCTGTAACATTGGAGTACTTGCAACATTTAGTTTCACTCTTTGCAGAAATATTCCAATATATTAGGTTGTATACTAACCTTTCATTATCTTTATAAATTGTGAATGGTTAACAGTATGATTTTTTTTTACAAGTATGAACACAAGCAATATAATTGGCCTATATATTTTTTTGCCTATTAAAATAATTACTTGAATCTGTCACATATATAGTAATGTCACTACATAATAATTTTTTCGAGATTTTCACATTTCAAATTACCACGCCATGTAACCCACATACTGTACATTAAAACTGCAATAAATACCTACACTGCATGTATATATTTTTTGCAGCAATATGTTTCATATGTGAAAATAAGCTTTTGATATATGAACATGATGTAAATAGTAAAAGGTTGTACAATGGGTTTTGTAGTTTACCTAAAAAAGTTTAATTTTTTTTTGGTAATTTATGCCATCTTATAGAATTGGTGTACTTAACTTGTATATAACAAGTAATTTGCTAGTATTGTAGTTAGTGGAGATCTTGTAAACTAGCTTTAGGGTTAGGAATTGTAACCACTTTAATTAAAGTCATGTATGAGGAAATTATTAAAAGTTCTGGCCCTCAAATGACCATCCAACATTTAATATATACTCTAAAATTTAACCCGGCTATATGCTTGAATTAACCAGATTATGTTAGGTGGATTCTTAACCAGAAATCCTTGGTTAATAGTCCACCTAGAAAAGTGGTTCGTTACACTCATTAGTTTTGAGTACGTAATAAAAAATCTCCCCTTAAATCTCCTCGCCTGGAAAAATGCAACCTCTATTTTATCTAGTTCTACCTGTTTCAGATTACGAATATGTACTTACATGTACCTGCAAAAAAGCATAACAACATACCTATATTTTGTTTTTCTTTGCAAGAAATGGAATAGCAACAAATTTCTCGATCTTGAACAGATGAAAGGTTTCTGAAAGATAACACAATGAAATGCTTTATAATCATAGAAAAGATATACACATAATTATTGTACATAAAAATGTACTTCTGTATATCTATAGGTTTCATTGTGATAATGATTTTGCACTTTATTTATTGGTACCTTAAAACAAATACTTACAATTTTTCTATCAATTCTTTCTCATCTATTGCGTTGGGTAAATCTCGCTTGTTTCCAAGCACAAGTACCTGCCGAATAACAAACCTTGTTCAGTATTTGTTATTTCAACAAATTAATAGTAAGTTACAAATCTATGATAGGCTACAAAACATATATTTGCATGCTTAAATGAACGGTCAGTAATGATAAACGTTCTTACTGGAATTCCGGACAGCTGCGGTTTATCCAATAAATTATGCAGTTCATTTTTCGAAGCATCAAATTTATCATGATCGGCAGCATCAACCATATATCTACAAAAAAATTATTGTGTTATTAAGTTCAAATGTTGTGGTATTGAAAATTCCACATCATATGATTTATCTTGTGCCGAGACTACAGTGTGCTAGCAGGGAGGTCAACTTATCAATTAGCCTTTCTCATGATGACAAATATCCACCATTTTTGGGTGGCATCTAATTCTTGTTAACCAATGAAGACAATTAAAACAATGTGAAAAGCAATTTTTCAAAATAAACCAACCATTTACAAAGCAAATTACCAGCATTCGTCCAAAAAATTATAAAAAGTCGCTGTTATGTGGACTTATCTTGCAGACTTTGGCTGAAAAGCCACCCAAAAATGGTGGTGTGAGAAAGGCTAATTAACTGCCTCACCCTACAACCAAGGCTCAAATTTTATCGCGGCAATTGCCGTAGAGGGAGAACAAAATGCCGTGGATCATTGCGGCAACGACAGCAATTTTTTTCCGTATAGTATAATTATTGTACTATTCACTGTGCATTACTATTTTGATACTTGAATTCAGATGTTGATCAAATCATGCGTAAATCACTATTTTAGTCTGAATTTTCTTTGAAAAAAAACACACTAAAGAAATACGTAGACATGTTTCTAGCTTGTCAACAATCCAAATAACAATAAAATTGAATTTTTATTACAGTAACTTGAAAAAATGACGTGGAAACTGCCAAAATTGCCCTAGACAGCTTTTACGTTCTACAGCATTTTTTAACTCCATTGCCGTCGATTGATTTCAGGGAATTTTTCTGTGTTGGTGTTGTGTACTCAGGTGAATAATATGTTTGCGATGTTACTCTGAGTGCATATCCACACCGGGCGAGCTTGAAAAATATGCCCGGCCACGGTGGGATTCGAACCTACGACCTTTGCAGGCTTTCTGGCATCCTTGTGTAGAAAAGTAGGACAAAAGTAGGACTAGAATTTTAGGAAAAGTAGGAATAAAGTAGGAAAATGTGTAGAAAAGTAGGACAAAAGTAGGAGTTTTGGATATGCAAATAACACAAAAATATACAAAATTGCCCCCTAGGATATATGTGGTAAGGGGTAGAAATTTTTAAATTTAGAGTCTCTGAAATGCCATTTCCTGGACTTTGGGGAAGATTTGACAGAATTCTAATGGTCAGAAAACAGCGTTTTAGTATGTCGAAATTTACAATTTAGTAGTACTAAATGGGCGAAGCCGTATTTAACTATATATTGGATAAGTTGCAGGAAAGTATGGGTAATATCTTCATTCTTTGCAGTTTGCATGTCATGGATTAAATGATAAAGGTCTGCATGATTTTGAAAAAAAATGATTATTAGCAAATTATTGGGGAGCTGCAGCCTCCCCCCGATTGCTATGGCCCTGTATATATGATGCTTGATTAACTGAGGAGGGGGGAGTTGAATATTTGGAATCTCTAGATCGTCGGAAATGGCACTTTCAGAGTCTTCATTAATTTATTGATTATGATTCTAGAGATGCTATGAAATTATATACTTGGAAAATGTACTTCTCCTCCTGACATCTTATCATCTGGGACACAAATAGGGAATAAAAATTACGAGTCCTATAGATCTAATTACGAGAGCTATAACATACTGATTCCCCAAGCTGTCTTAAAAAAGTAGGATTTTATGAGAAAAAGTAGGAAAAAGTAGGAAAATCAAGCAATTTTTAATAAAAAATAGGAAAAGTAGGAAAGTTGAAGAAAAGTAGGAAAAAGTAGGAAAAGTAGGATGGCAAGAAAGCCTGCCTTTGGAATACTAGCCCTGACCGCGTAGCTCAGTTGGAAGAGCATTGGGCTAGTATTCCAAAGGTCGTAGGTTCGAATGCCACCGTGGCCGGGCATATTTTTCAAGCTCGCCCGGTGTGGATATGCACTCAGAGTAACATCGCAAACATATTATTCACCTGAGTACACAACACCAGCACAGAAAAATATTCATATTACTAGAACACATTGGTATTGAAGGAACTAGATACTGTTCCGAAATATCCCTTACTCGAACCGTCCTGACCGCGTAGCTCAGTTGGAAGAGCATTGGGCTAGTATTCCAAAGGTCGTAGGTTCGAATCCCACCGTGGCCGGGCATATTTTTCAAGCTCGCCCGGTGTGGATATGCACTCAGAGTAACATCGCAAACATACATTTCAGGGAAATTCGAGGCCTGCCTACAACAGACTGTTTTCTATCTCCCACCAAAAATCATGCAATTGAAAAATTATCAAATGTGTGATGATTTGTCAGTGACATTTATATATTCAGTGGAGACAATGGAGAAAATGTCATTATACACATCCTGCTAATATGGACACTTTCATCTGACTCTGCCCAGCCTGTACCAAAGAAGCTCAATTGTACATGTACTTTTAATTATTAATTAAGAGGAGAACTTTTCGTATCTTATGTAATGAAGAGATTTTAGATGGTACACCGAAAAGAAAATGATTTCTGAAGTTCAGTAAGTTTTGCTTATATTACTGTATAAATATGTCATCAATTTTACAGCATCAATGATTAACTATTATTTTGTGTTTCTCAGCCGCCAGATGCATTAAAAAAGTTGCTAACTGTGTAAACTACAAAATTTACTTTGCTAAAACAAAGTCATTTTGAGTGGAATGCCAAAAAGATTATAGGTTTTTACTGTCGATGCAATGGAAGTGTTGATAAAATATTGCACCAATTCATTTCCTCAAGTTGATCAATTCATTTGATAGAAAATTGATCAACTTCCTGTTACTTTTAGATGAGCCAATTAGATTTCGTTTCAGAACCTATTGACCAATAGGAAATGCACAGGAAGTAAAAAGAAATTTGAATTCGTATGAATTGATCAACTCGAGGAAATGAATTGATGCAATATTTTATCAACACTTCTATTGCATCGACAGTAACACTTTTCATCCCAATTACACAACATAGAAAATATTGCCTTGTATTTACTAGAAAATACAAAATACACAAATCTTATGTTTACATACACAATGCAGTTCACGCCACGGCAGTATCTCTCCCACATACTTCTAAAACGAGGTTGCCCGCCAATGTCCCAAACCTGAAAATAAATTATATATTGGGTCACTCCAGAAAAGATCCACACTCCCCCACGGAGGAAATTTCTACCGTGAATTTCTACTGGTAATAGTAAGTGTATTAGGATGTCCGTAAGGAAGTTAATTCCCACTCTCCTCAGTCGGGGAGGCATGGATGTTTTCTGGGATGACCAATTATGCAAAAGGCAATATCTTATTGTTTGATACATTGAGTATTAAATAGGAATTGGTTAATTGCCCCTATATATTTTGATGCGAGAATGTGTAGCATCTAAATTTTTTGTCAAACAATGCAGTTATTGTGATATAGGTGATGTGCAAGTTATGTCACTGTCGCCATGTTGGATGACATTGACAAAAGATTTTGGTTGTTTGTCATGCAAATTCATCCAAAATGGCAAAAATCGCTTTGTCCTTTGAATCCCATGGGAGTGGTTACACATCACCTATAGTTTATAAAACCATGCAAATATTAATATTGACACAGATAATACCATGTTTTAAAAGTCAATATATTAATGGATAATCAGTATACCTTTATGGTAACATTGCCTTTCGATATTTTCCTCATATTAAACCCTACTGTGGGGATCATATCTTCATTATATTGCCCAGACTGCAAAAGAGCATCAGTAAGTACAATTATAAACAACTACCACATTGAAATGACATCGAAAACAAAAACAAAACCACAGCATTGTAGCATTTTCATACCGCAATCACATTCACAAAAGTCGTTTTTCCAGAGTACTGA